ATGTACATAACTATAAACCACAGGAAGCTTCAATAGGAAATCCTCCAGTTTTCAATCCTTATAATTTCCCTGACTGATTACATTTTAATAATGTAATATGTGACATTTAATTATACAGGTCTGAGTTCATAATTCATAATCATTCAGTTCATAATTAAAAGGAACGAGCTCAGAGTTCAGTTCACACAGATGGAAATGAACTACTTCACGTTCATAGTTCACTTTTTCATAAATGAACTAAGTTCACAAACCTGGAAATGAACAAATTCAAGTTCAAGTTTGTTCAATAAATGAACTTGAATGAACTTCAGTAAATGAAGCCACAGTCGTGCACAATAGAAACTCTTGTTTCTATTGTGGGGCCACCCCACACCCAATGACTCTAATTATGACATAAAAAAAAAAATAAATAAATAAATATATATATTATAATTTTATTTTAAATTAAAATGTAAAATATTTCAGAATATATCAATATATATATTTTTTTGAAGTGCAAGATAAAAATTTTAACTTTAATGACTAGTAAATCGTCTTTTTTTTCAATCCAAAACTTTATTGAAAAGTTGCAAATTACAAAACATTGACAAAAAATGTCACCAGATATAGAACAGTATCTCCAAAATAAGTGTTCAATGATGGGGTACAATTAGAATGAAGTTAAAACATACCTAAACTTAAATAGATAACGGAAGAGATTTAAATAACAAAAAAAAAAGCAACATACGTTAACAGTGTGTCTACATTTTTTATGTTGATTCTTTGGATACAATTGAAGTAATTTTTTTAATCATTTTCAAACACAGGGAAGAAAGGTGGACCTTTGGAAAATTTGGTTTAGTGTTTGTGGAATTTTGCTATTAGAATATTCAGGTTAACCAAGGGTTCCATTTTCCTATCATTATTAGTTAGGGTTAGGGTTAGGTTAGTGTAAGATAATATCTTTGGCTTATAATTTAAGTGGTGTGTTGAAGTGCGATATGATGTAAACCTCAACTTCTTTCCAGAGTATCTGTGAAAATTTACATTAAAAAAAATAGGTGCTTAATTGTTTCCTCCTCAGTATTACAGAATACACAGTTGACATCAATCAATATTGATAAATTTTGCTAAGCGTTAGTATGTTATGTATAACTTTATATTGGATTTCTTTTATTTTGTTAGAAATAGCAAATTTGTTTGGGAGGAGCCGTGTTATTTTCCAGTTAATATCAGAGAAAGGAGGACCATACAAATTTCCCTCTCTGACTAATTTCCCTTAAATAGTTCCGTTTATGTTTATTGTTACATGACTAGTAAATCGTCATTCAATTTTTTGGCCGATTGGTGATGTATTTTCAGCCCTGGGGCGCAAAAATCTTTGCCCCATTGACTCTTGTTCAAAGTTGTTCATGTGCAGTAGCTCCGCCATAAAACAAAGGTACAGGAGAACTTGGGAGGTGACAGGAAGTGTATTTGCTCACCACCAGTGATGGGATTAATGGCGCTGAAAGTAACGCCGTTACCTTGTTTTAGTAACAAGTAATCTAACTAATTACTTTGACTGTAACTATATTGCAGTTACCATTGCAGCGCCCCGTTACTGCGCGTTACTCAGGTCGCACAATGAACCTTTTTTCATGACAGGACTCGTGCGCGCCTTGTCATGAGAGAGGGGAGGATGAGAATGGCCGATGTATAGTGAGATTCCATCTGTCAGTTGGGTAGGTGGGTGTTTCCGCTGGCGGGTGTTAACGTACAGCACACACAGAGAGATGGAGAGTGAGGAGGACTCCTGCAGCAAAACAGCGTTTTCCACATGGAAATACCGGTGTTACGTCGAGCTGCGTTTCCCCATCAGATACGGTTTCCCCTCGATCTCCGCACAGCGCAGGCGGCACGATTCACCGCGCAAGCGACAGGAAACGCGCATGCTAGCTAAAGGCGCGCAACAGTCGCCCTGTTGTCGCGCCACAGGAGAACTATGGAGAGCGTGAACGATCATTAGCCTATATGGAGAAAGGGAGAAAGATGGATGGATGGATGGATGGATGGATGGATGGATACTCTGCCTTTTCAACCTACCCAGAAACGCAAAAGTAACGCAATAGTTACTTTTACTAGTAACTAGTTACTTTTATTGTGGAGTAACTCAGTTAGTAACTCAGTTACTTTTTGGGAGAAGTAACTAGTAACTATAACTAATTACTTTTTCAAAGTAACGTGCCCAACACTGCTCACCACTTCCCGCCACAGCGCAGACGTTTTGCGGGTGATTGACAGGTCGAGAGAGAAATGGTGCAAAAAAAAAAAGTTATTTTCCAGGACCTGGTTCAGCTCTGAGGCTTGGCTAACTGCATGCAGCGAGGCTAAGGCTTTATCCTGCTTCCTGCCTCCTTTTTCAAACAATAGGAACTGATCCAGCATGGATAAAGGCAGCTAGGACTGATTTAAAGCACTTTATAGAAAAGGCAAAGAAGAATGAATAATCTAAGATTCACATGGAAAATAATAAAATATAGTCTAAATAAACACATTATCAGAAAATGTATTGTTTTTTTTATATTTAAAAAAATATAAAGTTGACTAACAGCTTCTCCATTATTAAACTGATACATTTTTTTTTAGGTTTGTGAAACAATAATAGACCATGCAAAATACAGATTTACCTTCATGAAGCCTCAGAACGACAAGATTTATGTGCAAAAAGTAAACCTGGACATGAAATTATGTGTTCTTTTTACAAAGTGTTTTCATAATGTTTTTTTGTTGTCGGCATTCATATAAATATACCAGCAGAGGCGTAGCCAGAGAGTTTTTATAAGGGTGGCCAGGCAATAACCACTGTAGACTGAGTGGGGGCCGAAAGCGGATTGGCACCAGAACCTCAGGGTCGATCTACACTGTTCCAACAGGAAACACGACCGTGCAAAACATCCATATTTTCTAAATAAAGACAAACTATACTTTCCTACAGCCTTCGCTAACAAGTAGATGATATTTCTAGATAAAAGGTATAGTGAATAAATCTCAGTTTTGAGTTCTGGGGCGTAAATTAATCATCACTCTCATTACTTTGTATCAATAAACATTCAGCATAAAGTTGATATTTACAAGCACAAATATCTACATAAATTGATTGTTTGATATGTTTTTATTTAAAAAAATTCATTGAAGACTCCCAAATGACTTGCAGAGACACATATTTTTCTCTTTACCCCATAAAACACTAAATCTATTTCTGAAGAGCCTGAATTCTGTACTTATCATCTTTGATGTTAGTATATTGATGTATAGATTTAACCACAAAAAAAAAATGTTTTAAATATTCCACTTGAGAGTATTACTGCTGTATTAGAGGGAAATAAATGGTAGGGGTGGCCAATGATTGGCTAAGGGTGGCCATGGCCACCCCTGGCCCCCCATCTAGCGCCGCCCCTGTATACTAGTGTGATAACTTAGTATACGTTTGATTGGTTTTGGTTTGAATTTATAGCCCCCCCCTGGAGAAAGCTCCACCTGCCGCCACTGTTTAAATGTGTGATAATAATATATAGAAAGAAATGGAAAATACTGGATGCAGTCAATGTTTCCTGGATGTGCAGTAAAGCCTTTATTACGGCAAATTACACAGAATTTCAGAAACATATTCATGAACTCCTTTGTGGATCAGGCTGTGCTTAAAGTTTAGGTCAGCTTACCTGGTATCCTGGGTCTCATTTATGTTCTGATGAAAGTCAAACCTAAACAATGAAAGCAGAACCACAGCAGGCAATGAAACTCAGCACAGATTAGCAGTTTAATCAATCTGCATCACATATTCGTTTAATCTTTAAGTTTTCTGAGAGTTCTTTTGAAAAGATCTGGATCAAAATGATTTCTTAGGTTCCTCATTCAGCAGCAGATATTCCCACAGATAGCTGCTGAAACCTTCAACATGACCCACCTGCTAAAGTTTGTTTTATCTAAACTGCAGACATTTGTTTAAATTCAGAGATCAGTTCTTACCCCGAGCGTTGAGGTGGAAGAGGACCAGCAGAGATTAAAGTAGCCATCATCATCATCAGCAGCAGCAGCATGGTGGTTGGAAGCAAAGCAGAAACTATATTCTGATCCAGATCAGACCGACTGAAACCATTTATAGCTCCCCCGTCTGATCTGAGATCAGCCTCGTCCTGTTTGTTCTCCAGCATCACTGCCGTCCGTCCGTCCGTCCTTCGCTGAGGGTCGGGTCATGTTTGGCTGAACGTCAGCTGAAGGACAGCGGTCAGTGATAAAGCTGAGATGATGTTTTCTGTTTTTATCTGATCTTTTTCATTCATTACTCAGCAAAGGTGAGGAGGGGGTTTGGGGGCTGTTCAGCTTTACAGCAAAATGATGATCGCAGGAAAATTAGAAGAAAAGATTGAAGAGGAATTTTCAGTAAGAAGAGAAGAAGGTCTTTTCTCCCTAAAAATTAGGAAAAACCAAACCACCTCATTCCAACTGTCAGCCCACAGGGGACTCTGTAGGTAATCAAATCAAATCAAATGCTGATATAAATTTGGTAAAGAAAAAAATTACAGTAGTGGGTCTTAAAGTATCTGTACATAAAAAAATCTGCAAACTTTAACAATCTGAAGCAACGTTGGAAGAAAATGGTGTAAAATGATTATTATCCCAACTACTGCATCAAAGGGTGTTATTTTAAACAGGCCGCCTGCGTCTCAGGTTGAATGAGGTTTTATAAAGTGTGTTAGGTCATGTCTCCATCATTTGGGTTTAAGCCTTAATCAAAACAAACATGTTTGAGTAAAAGTTTGAGAATCGCCCCCCCCCCCCTCCTAACTGTGACTTATCGAATGTGAAGGGATGAAAAACACACAATCAATCCAGCTTGACAATCACAAATATCTTTTTAATTTCAACATCTGTTACAATTTTTTAATTTAACACATCTGCACAAACACTGAGGGGAAGAGAACGGCTGCTTGGATCCGAGGGGAAACCAAAAACAACAAGAGGACTCTGTCACAAGAAAAATGAGCATCCACTTCCTGGAAAGCAGCGGCTCATCTCAGAGGACACGCAGTGTAAATAACCAGCGGATCAACGCGTTATTCAGCCGTTTATCGGAAGTCCTCAGCGGAGAACATGCCCTTGGCTCGGCGCAGGATGGAGTCCTTGGACGCATCGTACGGATGCTCTTTGGACGGGATCTCCAGCACTGCTGGGATGGACTGCATGTGGGCGTCGATGGCGTGCCGGATCATCTCAGCTATGAACTGGTTGATCAGAATGATGGCGATGTCGTTCCGCGCCAAGAAGCTCCTGCAGAGGGGAGAAGAGTTCAGCTCATCTTTGAAATGTGGAGATAAATCAAGCAGGAAACACATACAGGAAGATCAGAATATATAGATTTAAATCATTTTACTGAAATGAGTGACCGTAGTTAAAATAAAGAAGTTTTTCAAAAATCATTTGATAATATAACTAAGATCATTTTATAGTTGAAAATATGTTTAATAATCTATCAAAAGTAAAATATTTGTTTAAAATGATCAAATCTGTTTCTACAAATTTTTCTTACATTTTTTATCAATTCCTTTTTATTTTATTTTACTCTTCAACAATATTTGCATGTTTTAAACGACATAAAACAGCAACATATGAACAGAACATTTAATATAACACGAGCACATTTATTAATGTAGTTTTAACTGAATATAAAGGTGCTGAAAACGACAAACAATCAATTAACCTTAAAATGGTTTGATTTTGAATGGAGTCTGGTACAGATGCAAAATGTGTTAACATTTCTGCCAGTTTTTTATTTATAGTTATAAATAATTGTTATTTTATTACACCTCCCTTTAGACATATATATACAATATAGTACAAAATTACATTCAAATTTTATTTAAAGAGGATTTTCTGTCTAAAAAAATCCAATACGCACCAGACTCCATTCAGATTTTGACTAAATTAATGTTCGGGCATATTATTTGGTCTGTTTGTTTTTTCTTTTCATCTGAGGTTTATTCTCATGTAGCAGAAATGATCAAATAATCTGTTTATTTACGGTTCCTGTTTGTGTAAATCGGTATCGGGCCTCACTTGAACGTCTCCTCGATCTCCGTGATGCTCGTGTCCTTCTCCACCACCAAGAAGTTCGGCTTCCGGTTCTTGTTCAGCTCCCCGATCCCACCGAGCAGGAAGCCCGTCACCGTGTCCTCATCCCCGATCACCGCGATCAGTTTGCCTCGGCCCGCCATAGCCTGCTGCTTCGGTCCTGTTCTGCTCGGGAGACACGGTGCGGATCAGCAGCTTTGATCATGTGAGCCGCTGCGTCATAAGTCACGTGAGGGTGACGCAGGAGCAGGAGGCGGAAGTGAAGCTTCAGGCCAAAAACAAACAGCAGCTGAGATGGTGAGGCTTTATTTGATCTATTTTACCTGCATCGTTTTATTTTTATCTTATATATTTATTGGACCATGATTCCGGAATAAAGTCTGTTTATCTGTCGATCAATAAATCTGATTGGTTGGTTTGTTTTCCAGACGACGGCGGCTCTGACTGCGGGTCTGGAGCGGATCCCGGATCAGCTCGGGTATCTGGTCATCAGTGAGGACGGGGTTCTAGCTGTAAGTTTAAAGAAAAACTACAAAAAGTTGCATTTCCTGCGAAAATGCAGTGAATGCTGTAGGCTAAACTATAAGCGTTATAGTTAAAATGGTAGAAACAAGCTGAAATTAAAGCAAAAAAAAAAAAAAAAACTGCTGAAATGGTAGAAAACAAAAACGCTTAATGACTTTGCTAAAACTAGTGGAAACCAACAGCAGAAACATGGAACACATGTTATGAATTAACAGTAAAGAGCAAAGATTCCATGTTCCAGAAAGGGCGAAGGTCTATGGAAGGCCAAATGTGCCACATTTCTCTGTTTTTCTGCTTAAATAAGGTTAAGAATCTGGCAGTTCTCTCTGAAAGGTCAATAAGTTCAAAGTTTAAATCATTTGCTTTATTCTTTAAACCTATTGATGAGTTCAAAGATTATTTTTTTCAGAAAGTAAAACCCAAAGGTTACTCATGGGCGTTTTTAGACAGGGGCCAGTGGGGCCAGTTCCCCTGTAGAACTAATACTGGCCCCGGAACCAAAGAGATAATTCTATTCAGTTTATTTCTATAGCTCCAATTCACATCATGTCATCTCAGGTCACTTTATAGATCCAGTTCAACCAGATCATCCAGTCAGATTGATTCAAAGTTTTCTATCTAAGGAAAACCAGCTGATTGCATCGACTCATTGACTCTTCAGCAATCCCTCACACTAAGCATGCTTGTAGCGACAGTGGAGAGGAAAAACTCCCTTTGAACAGGAAGAAACCTCCAGCAGAACCAGGCTCAGTGTGAGCGGCCATCTGCTGAGGCCCACTGGGGTTCAAGGAGACAGAAGCAGCAGCAGCAGCACAGCTGATATTTCTCTCCAGGATGGAGTCACAGCCAAACAGGAACAGACCAGATGAAGCTACTATGAGAAAAAGCAGAGAGAGCAGAACGTTAGAGATTGAACTAACAGATTCTGCAGAGTGGGAGAATAGAGATAGAATGATGAAACTGATTGATTGGACCCAATTTATTTCATTTCATTTCAATTCTGTTTTAATTATGATTTTAAAAATAAGATGATCCCTTCAGTGGCATTGAGACAGGAAACTCAAAAAATTCTACTTTTTACAGCAGAATTTTTTTTCAGTATAGCTTAATTTCTGATTTGATCAAAAATAAATAAATTCTGAAATTTAAATGTAAATTGACCTAATATATCAAAGATTAGCTTGATATCCTGTTTTAGTAAATGTTTATTCAGCAACTAATTATTTCAGGTGCTTTTTTTCTCTTGCATTCATTATAAATGTATTCAAATATTTACAAATTTAATTAAACCAAATTAAATGACTTTACACAAATTAGAATGTAGAGAAAATACGTTTGTTGTTTAAGGTCTGGAATCCAAGCATTATCATAGAAAGTTAGGTGGAAGGATAAAGTGTGGTGGGAAGTTCTGCACCAGCAATAAGGAGAAGCGCAGCTTTCAGAGGATGCAGCTAAATTTAATTAGATTTAAGGGAGCAGAATGAGTGAATTCAGGCTGCTGTGGTCCAACGTTATCATCTATCAGGACCTGAAGTGTTTCTGCTGACATGATTTATGAGGATACTGATTAGAAATTCTACTTTCTGAAGGTCCTAAAATAGTTCTTTAAGTTCCATATTAATAATGATTTTATAAGCATAGATTTTTAATTCGATTATGACTCCTATAGAGGAGGGGATATAAAACAGGCCCTGCTGGCAGTCAGTAAAATATAATAACTAGAAATTGTCTTAAATGAACCCCTCCTGCATTAGAAGACTGGTTTAGTATCGTTTTAGATATTTAAATCGGAAAAGTTGACGTTTTCTTTAAGAACCCCAGGGGACATTTTTTGATATTTGTGATGAATGGATCAGGTTTGTGTTCCGCTTCCAAAATGATTTTTTATTTATTGTTTCCTTATTGAGGCTCAACCTTTTGAAAAAAGACTAAAAACTTGTTTTTCCTTAAACACATAAAATTAGTTTCTGTTTCTCATTTTTCTGGCTTTGCTTTTGTTTTAATTTTCTTTTTTTGTTTTATAAATGTGAAACCAAAAGCATAATGCATTTACCGTGTAAAAATAACTGTGATTTAATGATTTTCAATAAAAAAAATGAATGGAAAAACCAAAACAAATTCTAGTTAAACCCATATATGGTAACAGTGACTAACGCTGCCAGGTACCAGAAGCAGCAAATTAAGCAGGTCTCTGTGGACCAGAACCATAGAATCTATGAAGAACCAACAATGCAAATATGAGCAGAAGGCTGCTGATGGATCAAGCTGGGCTTCCAGAACCTCTCAGCAGAACCACAGGCTAAAAGAAGCCCCGCCCACACAGCGAGGAAGTGAACATGCTTTTCAGAATCCAGACATCTCTGCTTAGAATATCATTTAATTCAGTTTGGTTTTCCATATGAATCACTACAGGAAATAGAAGCTTAATAAAAGCTTTTATTTGTTAAAATGACTCACAAAGACTTTGGAATTATTTATAATATTACATTTTTTTAGTCGTACCCGTATGACACCTTTTAAAATTATCTATATGAACTACAATTTTTCCAACCAACCTTTTGAAGTGTTCAGAAATCAGCGGATTCATAATTAGATCCCCTCTCACAGGCGACATTAAGGTCGTCGGTTTTACTTGTGGTTTATTTTTGAGACCCTGCTTTGTGTTGATCTGCCTAAAGGTGGTTTCTGACATTAAGAAGTGAAGGAATTCTTTCTGTTATTCAGTCTGCAGGAGAGCTGGAGAACGACGAGCACACTGCAGGTGCCATAATGCAGATGGTTCGGACGGCTTGTCGCTTCAGGTTGTCCGGATCAACAGAAGCTCCGTTCAAACGCATGTCGGGTAATAAAAGCAAACATTTCCTGGAGAAACCAGGCCTCATCCTTCAGGTTACTTCAGACTCCAATACTAACCTTCCAGTTGTTTGTTTCCCTGCAGTGATTCTGGAGGACTTTGTGTACGTGGTTACAATTTCAGGTCAGAAAGTGTTTGTGGTTAAACGTCAGAACAACCAGCATGAGCCCGTCAACGCGTAGCGGTGCCGGGTGGAGCCAGCGGGATGAAGATGGCGTCTTTTTGGAACTGTTTTCTATGTTTAAGATGTCTGTATAATAAACTGTTTGGACGTTTCTGCTTGTTTGAACATTTCTGCTTCCTCCAGAAAAATGATCCTGCAGGATTTAGATGCATCCCTTCAACACGTTTATGTAAATAAAATCATGTCGGAAACAGCACAGTTGTCATGTGGGGTACCTCAGGGGTCTGTCTTTGGACCCATCCTCTTCCTTTTGTAAATATTTCTACTAGGTCAGATAATCAGTCAATTCAGTGTCATATCTTACATATCTTGTATGCAGACGATTTTCAACTATATCGCGCTTTCAAGGACACTGAGTTTAATGAATTGTGTTCCTTAACTGACAATTTTCTACTTCTGAACTCTAAAACTGTAACACTAATTATCGCATCTGAAAGTAAAATCCCTCAGATAAAGCAACCTATTGCTGACTTAGGCTCGTCTGTTTAGCCAAACCTCAAGAGCTTAGCTGTAGTGTTCAATACAGCAATGTCCTTGCACAACCACTCTAAACAGTTAGGAACTGTTATTTCTATTCAGTTTATTTCTATAGCGCCAATTCCCATCATGTCATCTCAGGTCACTTTCCAGTTCACCAGATCATCCAGTCAGATTGATTCAAAGTTTTCTATCTAAGCATGCTTGTAGCGACAGTGGAGAGGAAAAACTCCCTTTGAACAGGAAGAAACCTCCAGCAGAACCAGGCTCAGTGTGAGCGGCCATCTGCTGAGGCCCACTGGGGTTCAAGGAGACAGAAGCAGACATAGAAAAAGAAGCATAGATACAAAAGGCAACTGTCAACCAGCTCCACAGGCGGCCCCGTCCAGGAAACACACAGCCAGGCAGACGAGCTCCGAGCCAGCTCCCATGTCAGAGGATGAAGAGAGCACATCCAGTTAGTCACAGTCAGAGAAACAGGACTACACTGGAAAACAGGCCAAGCTCCAACATCTAGAAACAAAGGTGTTGATGGCAGCAGCACAGCTGATATTTCTCTCCAGGATGGAGTCACAGCCAAACAGGAACACGGTTTGGCTGTGTTGCAATAGTCTTACCTCATGGTTAGACTATTGCAACAGTCTTTTTACCTGTGTGAGTGAGGAGGGGCTTTACCGTCTCCAGGTTGTCCAGAATTCTGCTGCAAAGCTTTTAACTCACATTAGAACCCAGTTCACTACTTTTAGTGTCCTGAACGATCTAGTTCCTCCCTACATCTCTGGGCTGATAGAGCTCCATACTTTGTCCCATAGTCTGAGGTCAACGGGCCAAACATTGTTAGCGGTTCCACACTCGTTTATTTGCCTCCTTTTTTATGCCGTATTAATTCTGTTAATTCCTTTAAAAAGCAACTGAAGACGCTGCTGTTCAAGCAGGCTTTTTAATTAGATGTGTGGTTTTTATGGCTTTGTTTCCTAAAATGTTGATACGCACAGATAGAAATCACAAAGATGAATAAATTACTGACTTATAAAACTGAATCATTGAACTTGTTCGCTACCAGGCCTCATCAGAGCTGAATCAATGCTGAGTGGATTCAGTGTTGAAGGGATGAAACTTAAAGTTTATGGATAAACTATCAGGGATGCAGCTCCTCATTTATATTTCCTCTCTATTTATCCACACTTTGATCAGACTAATGATTTTTACAAAGTTGGAACAGATTCTTAAAACCTGAAAAATGACCCAAATCTGCACCAATTCAATGCGCTGAAAGGGCTACAGTGTAGGATTCAGAAAAAGATGTTGAAATGTCTAAAAGGTCGGACACAGGCGAGAGCGTATCGGGAGACGGAGACCAACCAGACCTACCACATCCTTGGCCCTATCTCAGAGGATTTATAGAAATTGAGCTTTCAGTTCATATAGCGGCATCTGGCTGGTTTCGTTAAAGATTACTTTCATACTTTCAGTAGTTTCTGGAGCGCATACTTTTTCACTTTTACTGGAGTAAAGAGGTCAAGTTGATCCTTCAACTTTTACCAGAGTGTTTTTAAACTGCAGCATCTATACTTCTACTGAAGTATTTAATGTGTGAACCTTTGACGCCACTGATCAATCCACGTTACTGAATCTGATCCGGTAACTTCTACGCCATTCTGGTTATTTATTGTGCATTGAATCAAATTTATCAACATTCAGCCTTTGCAGTCAGATCATGCTGTGCACCCCTGAAATTTAGAGTGAGTCAGCAGAACCTTAACTTGTGGTTTCATCCATTATATTGCAAACTTCAGTTGAAATACTTAACTTTTTATTCTTTTTCTATTCATTAAATGCATCCAAATAAGAATTTCCACTAATTTTCATCCATGGATGTGGTAACAAACAGCTTGTACAATAACCAGGAGTCGGTACCAGTAAAGAAAATCTGATCTGTGCATCAACAGTGAAAGACTGAAAACAGACCTGAGAAGAAAAAAAAATTTATTGCATCATTGTTGCCTCTGCTTTGTTTCTTCTTCACATTGATAAGGAATGATGAGGCTGTGGGGTCCGGCTCTGTGGAATGAGTCATCACATGACCAGGCAATGTGTCACCTGTCGTAAGCCCCGCCCACTCCTCCCCTCTCCCTTACAACACCCGGTCACGTAATCTGGAGTTAAAACGAGCAGATTAAAAGAAAACAAACAGATCTAACAAACTGAAGAAGAAGAGGATGATGGGAAACCAGGTGAGCTCAGAGTTCACGACATCACTTCCTCCTGCAGATACATTTATAACTTAAAAAAGAAACAAAAACCCAGAAACAGTCCTGTGAAATGCTCCTCATCTTCCTCCTCCTCTGTTTGTACACGGTGACATCAGTCGGTGACATCAGCCTGCTGCTTCCTGTCGAGGCTCTAACGTTTCGATAGCTCATTGGACAGCCAGTCCAGGCCCTCGTAGAGACCCGTCCCCTGAGTGGCACAGGTGGCCTGGACGTGCCACTGAAACACAAACGGAAACAAAAAAGGATCAGACCAAAAACTGAAGTAATACTGAGCAATGGTCATAAAAATGACTAACAGGATAAAGGAGGCCAGTAAATGCAAATAAAGTCGTCTCTTTCTTGCAAAAATCTTGAACGCAAGTGTTTGACGTAATCCATCTGGTTAAAGGAAGTTTTCAAATCCAGCCCAGTTCTGACCCAATAGGAAGGAAAGGGTTTGAAATCTTAGTTGCATCAATGCTGCAAAGGAGGGGGGGGAGGTAGTTGCCCTTGTTTTGTTATTTTTGCACAACCATTATCTGACTCTGCCGTAGGGAATATAACCAGCTGCTACATTTTAACGTCTTTAACACCTGAGAAATCCACTGATTTAACAGCTCATTTAATCCTTGATGGGTTTTTAAAACCACCAGGTCTGTAATGCAGAATGCAACCACAAGGAGGCAGCAACTGCCAGGCAGCAGCTAAAAAAAAAGGCAGGGATAGTAAAACAAAAAAGAAAACTAAACCCATCGTAAAATACATTAAAGTTGAGATGAATGCCTTCTTCAGAAATAATTAGTTTTGAATCATATATTAGAAATGATGAGGACTTCTATTTAGTTCAAGTTAGAGTAGAAACCTGTGGGATCTATCACCCCCCCTTAAAAACAGCGTATCAGAGCTCAGCCCTTCTAAATTCCCCAAAGTTCTGCTAAACAAGCCTGATCTTTAAATGGATCCTTACGGTTCTGCTGCGCAGGCTGTGCAGGCCCAGTTTGTCGGTGAGTTCGCTGACCCCCATGGCGTTGGGAAGATCCTGTTTGTTTGCAAACACCAGAAGGACGGCGTCCTTCAGCTCGTCTTCCTGGATCTGAGGGGATACAAGAGTCAGGTTGACGTCACCGTCGACCCACCGAGACCCCGGCAGAATCCTTGATCGCTCACCATCTTGGAGAGCTCCTCTGCCGACTCTGCCACTCTCTCTCTGTCGTTGCTGTCCACCACGAAGATCAGACCCTGCAGAAGAAATGGTCACTGATCAAAGCAGTCTGCTGTCTGAGACGCTAATAAACAACATCAGCGAATATCATTGGTTGGTGAGACACAAACCAAATCAAACCATCCGTGATTCTAACTTATTAAAAGTTAATTTCTCCACTGTGAGATCAGCAAAGTCAATCAATCAATCAATAAACATACCTGTGTGTTCTGGAAGTAGTGTCTCCACAGAGGTCGGATCTTGTCCTGACCGCCGACATCCCAAACTGTGAAGCAGATGTTCTTGTACTCCACTGTCTCCACGTTAAAGCCTAAAACATGCATACGCAGCAGATGATGTTAGAGCCGAGGCGGCTACATACTGAGCGCGTGCAGTAAGATACTTTCTGTCTAAAGAATTAGTAAAATACTGAGGAAAGAACAAACTTTCCATTTACGCAGATAACATTCGTTTTATACGTTCAGATAAGGCCTCAGCTCTTCTTCTGGATATTGAATCTTTAAATGGAGCAAATGTTCCTGATTTTTCACAACAGTAAGTTTGAAAGTTGTTTGGTCCTAATAAAAAATAATAATTTACTGCAGCTAGCTCTAGTTACAGCCTCTGCAAATTCAGCAGTCGGGCTTCTGCTTTCCTGATAAATGGGCAAAAGATTCACAGTATCTTGTTAGGTTGGTAGTGCAACAAGATAAATTAAATCTGCTCTGATGGGATAAAAACAAAACCTTAAACTACAAAAACAAACCAAAAAAGCCTCCCAATAATTTAATCTCATCAACCATCATGTTGAGCTTTGATTTTTTTAGCTTCCTGAACCATGATCCGTGTGCGATAAGACGATTTTTACTGCTTTGATTCGGCTCCTGCTGGGAAACATTTCCACCCAGGTATGATTGATTACTTACCGATAGTTGGGATGGTGGTGACGATCTCTCCGAGTTTAAGTTTGTACAGGATTGTTGTTTTTCCAGCTGCATCTAAACCCACTGAGAGAACAGATAAAATAGTCTAATTAATATGTAAATTAAATATGTTTTTATTTTGATATTTCTTTTAAACTTTGAAAGATCGTTTTCTGTAAAACAATTTTGGACCAAATACTGGCCCCTAGAGGACGCTGAAAATAATGCAGTTTTCTTTTTCTTTTTTTAATCAGCTTCGCTGCATCTTATGTAACATTTCTCTTCTGAAACATTGAAGATTTTTAAGCCGTTTGCATATTTGAACAAATTATTCACTCTTATTTTCTATAAATCCAGTTTTAGGAACAACAAAGTTTGGATTTTGACAAACTCACTGCTTTTTATCAACAGATTCTCAGATAAGCCGTTTGAGAAAACATGGAACTAAGAAGGTCAGTAAGTTTTCAGTTAATCTAGAAAGTTCTTTCAACTCTTTGCAGAAATTAAGGTTGTCATTCTAAAAATAAAAAAAAAATATCCAGAATTAGATCCATATAAATGGAACTTGACCCAGACAACAGATCCAGACTAAGAGAAAATGATTCAGAGTCACGCCTCTGTATCCAAAAATATTTCCAAACAGACGAAGCATTCAGAAAACTACAACAAATCATCTGGATTCAAAACAAAAAGAATTTAAAAAAGACTGAAATCCATCTATCTTTAAAAACTGTTAATCCTGGTTGGTGGAGGAAGATGCAAACCTAATGCAATAAAAGCCCAGACCTGGATTCAGACCCAGGACCTCCTCACTGCAGAAGTTTAATAAAAAAAAAAAGGAAAAAAATATGTCAGAAAAATAAATAGAATAGAAATAAATAGAAGTGTACAGAGACATAAAGCATAGATTCTGAATACCAAACAGAAATCCGTGAAAATATCTACTCCTGTAAATGGATTACAAAGTAGACTTGGATACGAGACAAAAACTAAAATAAACCTAAACATAGATTCAATTCAGTTTTTTTTTTATATAGAGCCAATTCTCTACTTATGTAATCTCAAGGCACTTTATAGAGACAATTCAACCAGATCATACTTGCAAATTGATTCAGAAAGTTTTCTATCTATGGAAAACCAGCTAATTGCATCGACTCAATTAAGGGTACTTGTTTTTAATATTCACAATGATGCCCATTCTGCTTAAATCTGGGAATCTTGGTTAACAAGAACCACATGGATGTGGGTATAAAAGACCATGACAGTCAATTTAAATATTTAAAATTGACCAGTAGCATTTAAATAAATGGCACCTGGTATATATTGCATGAATTATATCTTTGCTATTATAAATTACATGAACAACTCTAAAATAATCCAGATTAGATTAACTAGACGCAAACCTGATCTAGAACAGAAGAGGTTCACTGATAAAATATGAAACTCAGATCCAGATAGAAAAAAATAACCATGACACCAAATCGAGACAAGGCAGATCTAGACGTGCTTAGTGACTCTATAAAAGCTCCAGAAACACAAAAAACAAAAATGTACACAGACCTTTATCTAGATTAAAGTGCTAAATAATATTTATTCAATTGGGTCTGTGGAACCTGGTTGACTAAAAAACATCTAGAAAAAACAAACAAAAAGAAAAACAATAGTGATCTTTATAACAATGATTGACAACTGGATACACAAAGACTGGATCATTAAAATATGCAAAATGGAAAAGAACCAGACCTACATTATGAATCAAAGAATAACCTCCACAGGTGTGACTCCAGATTGCACAATTAGATAAAAGGAACATTAACAAAGATCTTGACCAAGTATCAACAAATTGCTTTTAAAAAAATCAGAGGATCTAAGGAAACAGAACAGAAATCAGAATTGGTACCAGTCAAAAACAAGTGGATCCAGATTGACCCAACTGGCTCATTAAAACACCCAAACTGGATCCGAATAAAAGAGGATTGGATCCAGGCGGAACCGGATCCAGAGAATAAATAGATTTAATAAAACTAATCTGGACTCATAATGACGAAAAAGGAGAATCAGAGAGCAGGAAAAGACTATTAAAAAATTATATATATATAAAAAAAAATCGATGGCGGTAGATAGGCATCTATAAAAACAGAAAATATTAAAAAATGAAAAAAGTTTCTGTATCAGTGAAAGCTGGTTGACTCTGATTCATTCAACAGGATTGGGCATTGAATTAAAAAGAAAGAACAATCAGATTATGTCCATTTTAATACATCTAACAGTCCTTCCGTTTAGCCCTGGCTGTTAGCATCTGCTAACTCCGTTAGCTGGATTTTTCAGTAAGGCTCACAGTAATGATGTAACCAGACTAAAACTTTAACCGAATAACAATATAAAGCCCCCCTGGTCTAAAGCAGCAGTCCTGCCGCAGAACACGCTTTGAGTCAGCCCCCGGTACCGGCCCGGTCAACTCGGAGCTAGTTAGCCTAGCCACAACGCTCACCCATCAGTATCCTCATCTGCTTCTTGCCGAACAGCCTGGAGAACAGCGACGAGATGGTCAGACCCATTTTTTAATAAACAAAGTGTCCAAGAGAGGCAGCCGGTAGAGGTGACAAGACGAGGACGGGAGCTGGAAGGCGGTAAGCCCGCTGAGGCTGCTGTCAGAACCGAATAACAGGTACAGAACAACCGGATCCGAGAGAACTGTGGGCGCTGCTCCTCCTTGGTGCCACGTCCAGGCCAACGCGGAATAAATGACGTCATGACTTTGAAAAAACTTTATTAGCAGCCCCAGAGGATGGGCGCGTTTGGGTTCACAGGAAAATGAAAATCAATTGAAATCCTCTGCTTGAGAAAATGAATTGTTTGAGTACAGATACATCATTCCGTGGAATACGCGAATCTAGTAGGTTTATTTCTAACAACTTTAATATAAAATGACAGCGACGATAAAAACCGTGGCTAAAGCGAAATAGTTTTTTAGCGTTTTCTGTTTAACCTGAACGCATCCTTAAATTCCCGCCTCCTTCTCTGCTGTCAGTTCCGCCATGGCAGAACATGGCGGCTGTTGACAGCTGGAGCGACGATTTAGGAAAAAACTTGAATTATTTGTTGTTTGTTTTGTTTTATTTTGACATAAAATTATAATTTGTTTAATTTTCTTTTTATTCCAACGCTTTAAAAACAACTCTTTTGTATTGGAGAGCTTATTATCAGGTAAGAACCGGATTTAACCGGCAGGTTTGTGGACGTTAAAGTTTCGCGTTTTTTTGACGCCATAAACTCGGACAATTACGCTGAAGATATCCTCAGTTAAACACATAGGATAGGCAAACAGAGCAAGATAACGCAACAAAACAAATATTAATGTCAAACAGTCAGCACATTTTCTTCGTTTTTGCAACATTTTCTTTCTTTAATGTGGAATCTTAGAGTTCTAAACTTACAGTTTTATTAATTTAATCAAGAATTGAAACCAACATACTTTACCATTGCACTGAATTAGAGATTATAAACGAACTGTCCCTTTAACCCTGTAAAGATTTATATCTACATGTCTGCCTTGCTGCATCAGGAAGTTAAGATCCAGGCTAAAAAATAATCTAGATTGAGACTAACAGAAAGAGATCCAGAGTAACTGTATTGAATCCAGCTAAACAGAAGTGGGTTTTCGAAAACTATCCAGAATTTGATACATAATAACTTTTAAACCATGTTTATCGAAATGATCAACAAAGACTCTAAATCCACAGCTAGATTAGAGCTGAACTCATTATTTCTATAGAACTGGATCTACATGGGAATAAAATCTGGAATTGGACCCAGACTATCTTAACCTAATCTAGAATTGGAATAATCCCAGACAAACTTACCTTGATTTTTAGAAAACTCCAGATTAACAGAACAATGCAACACTGGATTAAAATCTATTAAGATAATTCTAGATCTAAATACTGGAAACAGTTTGATCCTGATGGTTGATCTGAACAGTCAAACTGCTTTTTAATCTATTTATTTATTGACCCAATAGAAGGGTGTAAGCAGATGTTTGATTAAGTATTTCTTCCTTTTAGTTTTCCGATGAGTCTCGGATGAATTCTGTCTGATCATGGGACCAGTCTGACCTGGACTGAGTTGGACAGGAAGGACATGGAGAAGTTTGGGATGAGCTTTGGTGGCGGTCCCAGCAGGAAGGAGCTGCTGGATACCGTCGAGTCTCAGAAGAAGCAGCTGGTCCAGTACCAGACCCGCTTTAAGGATGTTGTCCGGGCCTACAAGAGTCTCCTGAAGGAGAAGGAGGCTCTGGAAGCCAGTCTGAAGGTTCTGAGCGTGACTCAGGACCTGGACCTCAAGCAGCAGGAGCAGGATACCGCCAGGCGCCTGGACATGCTGGATGATGGCTGCTCTCTGCACAGCGAGGACAGTGTGGACACAGCAGCATCGGTGGATGCAGCCAGTGAAACCGCAAGGGGAGAACAAAGCGAGGAGGACCAAGGCGAACCGAGCCAGAGGCCCTGCTCTACGGTATGTGGACAACATGTGTTAGAGTCGCTGCATCACTGCTTAGTCTAACATGGTTTTTGCTTCTACAGGCTGATGCTGACAGCAGCAGCATGGAGGCGGAACAACAGCAAACACCCACCGCCCCCAATGTGGAGATGGACCGCCGCATTGCCCAGCTGAAGAGTCAACTGAGCACGCTCACTGCATCGCTGGCCACTGTGACGCAGGAGAAATCTCGGATGGAGGCAAGCTTCCAGGCTGACAAGCGTCAGCTGAAACAGGAAGTTCAGGAGCTGCAGGGGCGTCTGGCTGCCACAACGGCGGAGCAGGAGGCAGAGCTGCAAGCTCTACAGCAACAGGTCGCAGAGACCCGTGCTCGCATCATCACACAGCAGCACGAAAGGGAGCAGGAGCAGGGAGACCACGCCCAGCAGCTGAGGGAGCTGCAGAGACTCCTGCAGCAGGAGCGAGACCTGCGGCAGGACGCCGAGCTGCGTCTGCACGACGCCAACGCCGCCCTCCTCTCTACCTCACAGGCGGTGGACCGAGGGATGGAGTCAGAGGCCCACCTGAACCAGGTGAGGGAGGAGAGAGACGAGCTGCGCAGGAGGCTGCAGGCTGCGGAGGAGGAGCAGAAGAAACCAGATCCCAGAGTGGAGGAGCTGCAGAAGGAACTGCAAGAGCTGAAGAACTCCTTCCAGCAGCAGATCCAGAACGAGACAAAGAAGGTGAGATTAGGTTCGGTTTACAGAAAGCCAGCAGACACACCTGACTTAGAAAAAAAAGGTGATTCAAAGGCAGTGTATGCTGAGGAGGGAATGCAGGATTCAGATGTGATTAAGAACAGACCAGAGTCCTCCACGGGTCTGATTTTTTTTCAAAACAGTATCCACCCGCAGGCGTAGAGACCCGACCCGTTACCCGCAATTATCCCCATTTAAAACCCAGGAGTAATAAAGTGCGACCCAATCTGTGATCACCAAGTGCACAGACAGCCATTTATAATAATAAAAGCAGTAGGGGTGTGCAAAAGAATCGTCATGACGATGCATCGCGATTCTAATTTTTGTGATCTACTGCATCGATACTTGGCGTCAAGAATCGGCCAAGTATAGATTCTTAATTTAAAAAAATGAACAAATAAAACACATGAATGGTTGGTGCACATCAGCCAAATCAAGTGGAATACAACTTCCAGTCCAGCAGATGTCGCTGCAGATGTGTTGACGCCTGCTGCCCTGTGTCACAAGCGTGTCCGGCTGCAGGATGCTGTGATTAGTCATTCGTAAATAAAACATGGACACTGAGAAAAGTCGCCCCGCGGTTCCGTCATATTTCAAGTCAGATGCTTGGATGCATTTTGGCTTTAAAGCTGCAGTCTGTAACATTGAGGAGAGAGCAGACTTCGACTGAAAGTTTGAAGAACAACAGGTTTCACGCCACTCCCCCACCCTCTCTGCTTCACTCATGTCCCACCTCCAAGCTCCACCCCTCTCACAGCATCTGCGCGGCTACTGCATGCGACCAGAAGGGGGGGGGCGGGATTCAGCGTGTGTGAGCTGTGATTGACAGGCCATCAGACGCTCCTCTGGCTATGATTGGTTGTTTTGTCTCGTCCCGAATTATTCTTTCCAGATTGAAATACAGGCAGTAGGCGGGACCAATTGAAGCAGTTTTTTTCACAGGTTACATATCACATGTACTGCTGTCTGGGCATAGGGACAGTTTTAGCCAATATGACAAAAAAGTGATTTTTAAAAACTTACAGACTTCAGCTTTAAAAACAAAGAAGGTAAAAAAGAAATTGATATAAAGCACGTAATTTGCAAAAGGACCACTGAGGCCATGTAAACGGCACTGATTATCCTTATTTTGTTATTTTAAGTTTGATGAATCCTAAGATCTTTTTGTCAGTGTGTCCACTCCAGTAATAGTAATATTTCTGTCCAGTATTTGTTTCCATGGCAACACCTCCAAAAGTCATTTCAATAAATCGAGCTATGTATGAATTCAGTTGCTTTCAGTTCTGTATCAATTGAAGACACGATCCAGATCACACTCAGCCAGTCAGCCACTGGTAAGGGCTGCATCTTTTTCTTACAGTGTTCAGTGAAAATATCGCAATATTTCAAGTATCATGATGCTTCGTGATAGAATTGCACCGTGACTTCTTTGCCAGTACCCACCCCTAAAAGGCAGTAAAGAATATCGCCTCACGCTCACATCCAGCACTCTGTGCTCACATATTAACAGCTGTAAATTAGCAGAACTTAGTTGCTTTGGCTTGTTGCTTAAATAAATACTGTATGTTTAATACTGGTACCTGCCGGACCCCCGACCCGGTGCATAGATATAAATGCATTAAAATCTGGTCCAGACTTTTCTGTTGCTTTGTTGAAATAAAGCGATTGTAATCAGTCAGAGATGCAGTTCTGGATGACCTTATTACAGGTCATCCAGGACCTTATTATAAGGTGTGTCACCACTAGGTTATACTGGTTGCTTCTGAAGAAGGTCCATTAATATTTGATTGCAAGATTTGATCTTTTCTTTTTTTAAATTCCAAGCAAGTTTCTTTCTGACTAATTTTTAATTAAAAGCATTTGAGACTAAAATACCACTGAGTTTTCCAGACTGAAACTAGACTAGGAAATAAGTACTTAACAAAAGTTTCACTAAAATCATTTACATTTCTGTTTATTTATTTATTTTTCCTAAATTATCTCTGATTTAATATAACTATTTATTTGGATCCATCTCTAGAAATAATCTGTGATGAAAAACGTGATAATTTATGCATTCGGTCTTTAATCTCATTCTGCGATCCCCTTTCCCTGTTTTTGATTGACGGTATCAGTCGTTCCCTTTAATTTTTCAGCTTCCAAGAATAAAATCCCATCACACCTTCACGTTCTGCCTGTGATCGACTGCCTGCTTAGTTTAACCGGTTTTTAATTGGTTACGTTAAGAGCGAAGCGTCCTTTTGGTGAAACCCAACCAACCACAGCTCGCTAAGTTGAGTCAGAATTGAGCGTCTCATCCTGACATTTTGAGCAATCTTTTTAAGCTATATTAATTTCCACAGCTAAAAACAAACCTGGCAGACGGAGGCGCATCACAAGGGGAGCAGTATGTAGATTTTAGAGCCTCTAGAGATAAAAATCAGGACGAACAAAGAACCATCTGCCTTAAAGAACCCGTTTAATTCAGTTCAGTTTGATGCGTTTTAACTGTTTTTGTTGTTTTTTGTAGGTTTCTGAGGCAGAGGAGCGCGCTCGTGAAAGAGCGCAGGCCGCTGAGCTTCGGGTGGCGGGTTTGGAGCAGCGCGTGTCGGAGCTGTCGGAGCTGCTGGGATCCTGCGAGAAGGCGAAGCAACGAGACCAGCAGACGGCTCAGAGACTGAGAGACCGCATCCTGCAGCTGGACACCGAAAACAAGACGCTGGCCATCGCCGCCTCCAGCAGGTCGAGCACAGACCTCAGCCTGGACGAGTCGCAGCTGGACATGGCCGTTCTGAAGGACAAACTGCAGACGGTGAAGAAGCTGCTGCTGATGGCGGCTCAGAGGAACCCAGATCAGAACATCCAGGATCTGGCCAACACCGAGGAGGAGTCAGGCGTGGACAAAACCACAGCTCTGGTTTATCAGCAGGAGCTGCAGCAGCTGAGGGACGAGTTTGAACGCTACAAGCTGCGTGCCCAGGTGGTGCTAAAGAACAAGACGGCTAAAGATGGCTGCCAGGCCAAAGAGCTGGAGGAGGTCCGGGACCAACTGTCGGAGCTACGGGAGAAGTACATCACCCTGCGGATCCAGAGCGATGAGGCGGAGGCGCGGCACCGCCAGCAGCTGGAGGAGCGGCAGCAGCAGGCGGCGGGGCTGCAGCACGCCCACAAACAGGAGCTGGAGCGGCTGGAGGTGCAGCACCGTGACGAGCTGCAGCGGCTGGAGGCGGAGCTCCACAAACACCGGGAGAGGACCATGGCGCTGCTGGAAGAAAAGGATCTGGAGCTGGAGAGGCTGAGAAGCACCGTTCTCAGCAGCAGCCGAGACGCCAGCAAAATCAACAACATGGCCGACAGTGTGCAGGAGGCCGGCTCAGACTGCGAAGGCGATGCGGTCAGCCTGGCCCTGCGGCAGGCCACGCCCAATGAGTCCACCATGCTGCTTTATGCTGAGCAGCTGGCACGCAAAGACGTGGAGGTGGGCGGCCTGCGGCGACAGAAAAACCGCCTGGAGGAGGACCTGCACCAGCTGCAGGCCAGGCTCATCGCCAACGCCGAGCGGCACGAAGAGGAGACGGCCGAGCTGAGGGGCCGGCTCGACAAGCTGATCCGGGATCAGAACCGAGAGGGCGCAAACCTGGAGTACCTGAAGAACGTCATCTACAAGTTCCTGACGCTGCAGGACGCCAGCGGGCGGCTGCAGACACTAAACGCCATCCTGACCATCCTGCATTTCAGCCCGCAGGAGAAAGATGACGTCTCCAAGCTGCAGGGGCCAGCCTGGTGGGGCCCCATACGGAGGTGAACGCCTGCAGCAAAGAAAATAACAGGCCCGTTTCCCTGAGAGACTCAGACCCGCACACTCATTAATAATTCCACATGTATGACCACGACTGACTCACTGTGACGCCATTAAAGAGCTAATCCATCAGATTATCTTTATATTGAGGATTCTATCTTTAAATAAACTATTTTTTGTGTGTGTCAGATCGAGTCTTCATGCTTTCTGGGCTTTAAAAAGCAGAACTAATGAATCCTAACGAGTTAATCAGTGTTTTATATTGGCTCAAATTTAATCAACCAGACAGAAATGTATCCCTAAAATTTAGAGAATTTCTAACAAAACCTAATTGACACCGAGTTGAGTCCAGAATGGCGTTAGAGGAACTTAATCCAGATATCGATCAGATTAACAGAGCTTAAAATATTAGCAACTTTTATTTTTGCTTTTTTGTGTGTGTTGCGATAAAATATTGTTTTTTTCCAAATTTACCTTTGGAAAGATTTTAAAAACTGCTAAATGTACTGTTTTAATTGTTTTTAGAGGAAATTATAGAATTTAATCATTACTGATGATTAAGCAGGAAGTTGGACTTATTTAATTTCTCTAGTAAAGATTTTATCAGAATAAATCTCCAGGATTATGCACATTAAAAAGAAATATATATTTATTGACTAGTCAGAGAGTTTTATTCTTAAAACTAGTCCAGAACTGCTTCTAAATTTCCAGAACCAGAAAACTGCAATCCAGATAAACAGATAAAGGTTTTAGAAATCTCCATAACAGATATAATCAGATCAACAGCTTAATCCAGAGCTGTATTCAGAACCGTACCCAAAGTAAAAGAACGGAACCTGATTCTGGATCCAGAACCGATTCCAGACTAACAGAATTTAACCCAGAACTGGCTCTAATAGAAGTGATCTAATCCAGAAAAATTTACCCAGAATGGTTCCTGAACAACAGCTGGATTTCTGAAAGTAACTCAACAGAACTTAGTGGCAGAGTTTCACCCAGAACTGGACCAAGAATAGGAGAACTGCATTCTGGAAACAAAACTGAATGAAGGTTGATAAAACTTTCAGAAAAGGTATCTGGACTAAGAGAACTACATGAATTACAGGATTGTTAAAAAACAAAACAACAATATTCAGCCAGAGATAAATGCCGACACTCATTTGGGTTCCATAAAAAAACTTTAAAGAATCATATCTAAACTACCAGGTTTTAGTGTTAAATTGAGAAACAAGGAAACGTTTTTCAAGTTTTATTTTCAAGCACAAACATCAGAGAGCAGCATGTGGGTCTGTCTGTCGAGCCTCAGGTTATAAAAATAATGGCTGCATGTTCTCCTGCAGACTGGTTCTCCTGCAGACTGGTTCTCCTGCAGACTGGTTCTCCTGCAGACTGGTTCTCCTGCAGACTGGTTCTCCTGCAGACTGGTTCTCCTGCAGACTCGTTCTCCTGCAGACTCGTTCTCCTGCAGACTCCGGTTTCCTGTTTTTTCCAGATAAATTCATCAGATCTGAGCTTCGATATGAAACAGAAAAACTGGCCATAAAAAAAAAAGTAGTAGAGTCTGTAGTAGAAAGTTTTATTAACGGGTCGGTGTTTGATGGTCTCAGCGTGCGTTCAGGACGGACTGCAGGTCTTCAGGCAGTGACTCCACTATGGAGCTTAAGAAAGCCTCCAGTTTGTCTAAAACTCCATCTTTAACTTGTAGATGCTGCCGGCGAGCTCTGACCTGGAGAAACGGGCGTGGAAACCACGTTTACAGGCAGATACACCCAATTCAAAACTCCAGATCCGATTCCCTCACCAGTTTTTCTCTGAGCTTCAGGATCAAGTCCACGATCTCCACCTCGGACTTGTCTTTGGTCCAACCCAGCAGGTCCTGCTCAAGACACGGCGTGGCGGTTACAGGATGGAAACATATCAGAAGGACTCGGATAGCCAAGGGGAGGAAAGCCACTCACTGCTTCACAGATGGTCTCCAGGTGGAGGCTCTCTAGCTTCTGCGTCATCTCTCTGTGGCGTTGACGGTACCAACCGTCAAAGTTGGGGGACCTAAAAAACTTCCTGCCAGAAAAAACAAAACAAAATCATGCGATTTCCTTACTTATTCTTCCACTTTAAATTGAGCAACTAACTGAATTTTTTGTGGAGCGGCATCATGTCAGGAATGCTCCACACATGGACCAACAACTGAACCACCCACCTGCCCACCTACAGCTTGGTTCCAGTGTGACTCACCTGTACAGGCCCATCCAGTCACCGCGCAGCATGGAGGTGAGCTGAGGGCCGGTGTGATCCAGCGTGGAAAGGAACTCCTCCTGACTGAAGGGACGGACCTGCGGAGGAGTCTGAACAAAACAGCCGAGTCAAGTCGATCGTTTGACCGTTAGAGATGTGAGCTGAGAAGGAACCCACCTTCCAGGGCGTGACGGATCTCTGCAGAGGCATCAGGCTCACCATGTAACGCTCCTGTCGCACAAAACTCTGGGATTATTTACAGTTTTCCCAGCAGGATTCCTCTCCTCTGTGTCCTTTTCCTTACCAGAGGAATGATGAAGCTCTGTGTGAGTTCCAGCAGGTGTCTCCTCAGGATGGCGCTCTGAGCCTCTGATGGTCTCTTCCTCTGGATTCCCTGCAGACATGGATAAAAATAAAAAACCAACACTGAGCTGTTGGTTCTTAATCCGCCCTCAGGTCAAAGTGGACGATGCTCACCTTCAGCAGCCTCTTAATAAGAATTTTGTCTTTGTGTAGAAACGGTGTATACGCCGTGTAGATCCCTGCAGACGCAAACAGGTAGAGCAAGCTGGAGGTATTAGCAGCCGCTGCAGAAGGACCAGCTAGGTCACCTTACCTGGTTTGGTGTCGAGGGTTTTTAGTTTGGACAGCTTCTTGACCTTCACCTGCTTGGGAAGGTCGCCTGAACACGAGCAGATATGCAAATTTAACAACAGCGAAAACAGGACAGGTTGAAGCTATTACTCCATTTATACTACCGGTCCACGCCGAGACCGTTCCAAGCTCGGATCAGTTAACCAGGCCCAGCTCGGTTCTGACGACCGTTTACACATCACGCTATCTCAGTTCCTCCACTCCTCGCCTCCTAGTGACGATCTGCGGTATTACTGCCAGTATTAAAGGAGGAAATCAAGCAGTTGGTGGCGGTTATGCACCAAAAGGTGTTTGCCAACCGCCATAAAACACAAGAAGGGGAAGACGAAGAAGGAGGGAATCAAGCAAATCAAAATGGCGGCGCCCGTCACATTCAGAAAGTTATGCTTAATTATTATTGCTGTACTTTGGTGTTATTGTTTAAAATGTTGTGTGGAGAAGATTTCAATTGTTGTTTATAATTGAAGAAGTTGTTCTTCTGTTTCTGTAGGGGCATTACCGCCACCTACTGGAATGGAGCGTGAATCGCGATGTGCAGCCAGACGGAGATGACGCGTTCTGCTCATGCGCTCTTGTTATCAGAGAACCGAGCCGAGCCCACCTCTGGAACTGGTCTGCAGTTAGCTCGGTCCGGTTGTGTCTAGCTCGGTCCGGTTGTGGCTAGCTCGGTCCGGTTGTGGCTAGCTCGGTCCGGTTGTGGCTAGCTCGGTCCGGTTGTGTCTAGCTCGGTCCGGTTGTGTCTAGCTCGGTCCGGTTGCGGCTAGCTCGGTCCGGTTGCGGCTAGCTCGGCCGGTTGCGTCTAGCTCGGCCCGGTTGCGGCTAGCTCGGCCCGGTTGCGGCTAGCTCGGGTCGGTTGCGGCTAGCTCGGGTCGGTTGCGTCTAGCTCGGCCCGGTTGCGTCTAGCTCGGCCCGGTTGCGTCTAGCTCGGCCCGGTTGCGGCTAGCTCGGCCCGGTTGCGGCTAGCTCGGTCCGGTTGCGGCTAGCTCGGCCGGTTGCGTCTAGCTCGGCCCGGTTGCGGCTAGCTCGGCCCGGTTGCGGCTAGCTCGGGTCGGTTGCGGCTAGCTCGGGTCGGTTGCGGCTAGCTCGGTCCGGTTGCGTCTAGCTCGGCCCGGTTGCGTCTAGCTCGGCCCGGTTGCGTCTAGCTCGGCCCGGTTGCGGCTAGCTCGGCCCGGTTACGGCTAGCTCGGCCCGGTTGCGGCTAGCTCGGCCCGGTTGCGGCTAGCTCAGCCCGGTTGCGTCTAGCTCAGCCCGGTTGCGGCTAGCTCGGCCCGGTTGCGGCTAGCTCGGTCCGGTTGCGGCTAGCTCGGCCGGTTGCGTCTAGCTCGGCCCGGTTGCGTCTAGCTCAGCCCGGTTGCGGCTAGCTCGGCCCGGTTGCGGCTAGCTCGGCCCGGTTGCGGCTAGCTCGGTTCAGTTCAGTTTGCTTTCCATTTACACACGATAAGTTATCTCAGTTACCGAGCTCGGACCGGTCTTGGCACGGTTTTTCAAGGGTAGTGTAAATGGGGTAAATGAGAAACAGATCCAGCTGGACGTCACAGAGGAGCATAGCCTACCTGCCATCTTAATTTCGCCCAACCGGACGATGTGAGGCCAGTTCTGAAAAGCCTTGATGAAGAACGGGTTGGTGACCCCCAGAACCACGTTTGGACTGAAGAGGAAAGAGACAAAGGATACTGTAGATACAGACGATCCGAATCAGTTTCTGGGCGTTTGATTGTTTAGACTTACGGAGCCTGTGTCCTGGTGGTGTACTCTCTGAACTCGCAGTCATGGATGGTGAAATACGGTCGAAAGTCACAGCAGAACTTCAGAGGGCTTATAGCGCTGGACGTATAATAAAAAATAAATCTGTTACCATGACGATATAAACCGGCTCAGCGATTATCCTCCAGGCTGAACTACCTGATCAGAGCCAGTACGGTCTCGGAGCAGACCGTCGGAGACGGTGCCATGATGACCAGTGGCTCCCCCAGCAGCGCCAGCTCCCACAGCATCTGCAGGTGAATCAGAACCAACTGGAAACACCTGAGAAGGATACAGGGGAGGATGAGCAGCCCTTACTGCTGAGAACGACTCGTTTCTCCACAGGGAAGCAGCACTAACCTAAAGAGGTCCAGTTCGTGGAGGGTTGGCAGCAGCGTTGGAGCTGGCAGGAGGTTCTAAAAGGAAAAGCTCTATATGACTAACAGAAGCTGGGGGGAGGGATCAAAGAGAGAAACGAACTCTGACCTCCTTAGTCATCTGCCTGACCGGACTTCCTCCTGGTTTGTCACTTTTTGAAGGAATTCTTATCTAAAACACAAACAAATATCTTTTTCTGAAGGGTAGATCGCCTCCATTTTGTTAGCCACCCCCTCGTTCTGCTCACCTGCACACCAAACCCTTCCCCCACTGACCTACCTGTAAGACCGTGCCCACGATGGGCAGGTTGGGAGTCTGTCCAGGTGAGGGAGGGGGCCACTGGTCAATCTCATTGCACACTGAAGATAAATAAAAAGAAAAAACTGGGGTTTGACCTCCTGAGAACCTGAAAGTCTAACTTTACCGATCTTAGCTGCATCACCTGCTTCCAGGAACGGTTCCAGCTTTTCAAAGAACTCTGGTGCAATAATCTGCAGCATGGAGTGGAAAAGGTGCGTGAACGGCAGCCTAGACACCAACACTAAGGACTGAAAGGCAAAGACAGACGACAATCTGTAACCACATCAAATCAAAGGTGAGTTATGGCGGAGAACAGGTGAGTTACCTTCTGGAAATACCCTCTCTTAATGGAGACATCCTTCACCTGGCGGAAGTAGACATATCCGAAGAAATGTGCCGTTTCCCTCTGAGGAGACAGAACCGTTTTATTACCAGTTTACCAGCGGACTGCAGGCGTCTGGCTCAGGACTCTCACCTGCAGCGTAACGGGGGCGTCTCTGTTGTAGACGTCATCTTTGAACCCTTGGCGGCCAACTGATTGCCGTAACCTGAAGGTGAACTGAGTGTCCCCTAAGCATCCTGGGAAAAAAAAAACACAGCTGACATCATATGGCCTCTGATCTTTCATCTTTGCATACGACTGCAGGTAGGGTTGCCACCTTGCTGTCCTTTGCCCTCAGCAGCCCAACTTCCACCGGTTTTTCTCCTTAATGAAGAACAAATGGACCGATGTGCAGAACAAATGATCCACTGAATTAACTAAAGCTGAGCTCATTGTCAGCCTCAATTATGAACCGTCTTGCTCAGAGTTTTGCTCTGCAGCACTGAAAGAAAACCAACTCCTACAATACAAGAGGAAAAACTAGGCTATCGCCACAATATGTGGCATTGAGCTAATGATTTTTTTTTCTGTTTTACAACAGTAGCCTACCGTCATTGTTTTTAAGGCACAAATATGTCTGCATGTTTGCCGTTGCATCTAAAATTGGCACTATTTAATTAGTTTTATACTCATTTTTATAATTTGAAATTAAGCAGGACAGGTTTATGTTTAAGATGCTAATTTTATTAAGCAAATTTAATTTTGTATTACAGTGAATTGCAGAATAATAATTTGTTTTCCATGTGTTCATGTCGCTCACAAATATGCATCCAATTCAGTGCAGATTTGAGTCAAATAGTTTTAAAAAATCATTTCACACACAAAGGGGGGCTAAAAAATAATCACCAGGCCAGGAGGGGTGAGGGCAATCAGGTCAGCTGGGACGCACATGAGGGGTCCCTTCTTTTTTTTTTTCCCAGGGAGTTGCCATCCCTCTCTATAGCTCTGTATCTGTTTGGGGAAGTCATGTTAATTTACTTGCCCTGAACTTACCTGAGTAGGAGTCTGGGAAGGACAGGTAACAGATGCTGGTTTTCTAACAAAAAATAAAAAAAATGAAACCAGCACAATCAGTCAGTGACGTTAAAATAACAAATAACTGGGTATAACTCTGATTCACAAAAGACTATATATATATATATATATATATATATACATATATTATTTTTTTATATATATGTATATATAATTACCTCTTTCTCTGTAAGTTTCACATCCTGAGGATAAACAAGCTGAAAGCAGAGAAAACATCTTAAAAAAATAAATCTAATTTACCAACCCCTTGCCTTTTGAACTCAAATTTGAGAAAAAAATAAAATAAAATGACAAACTAACTCCAAAAAGAAATTATATTTGAACTATTACATATGCCGAATTAAGGAATAGAAGTTACACATTAGATAATTTAAACATTTATTGTCTCACAGCAGCTATTTTCTCTAAAAAAACGCTAAAATGTAAAAATGATAAATTTTCTGACTTTAGATTGGTGTTAGCGATGCTAAGCTAGCCCACCTCGATGGCTTGTCCCAGCTCCAGATCGAAGGTAACCACACACACGCACTCCAGCCAGGAGGAGAAGCGGCTCCAGGCGGACCTGCTGTCCGCCGCAGCGGCTTCCCTTCCCGGAGAACCGAACCCGTCCAGTGGGTCCATCACTGCAGGTGTTGTGCCAAATTCTGCTCCCCTATAATAAGCAGCAGGGACCAGGCACCACAGCTGGAGGGGCGGGTCCAAGCGACCACACTCCCTGCGACAATAATAACACATCTCAAATGGTGAAAAGTGCAAATTATTAGTCGCTAATTTCAGGAAGTAAAACTCCATACACATAATGGGATCATTCGAGCTTTTATTTATTGTAATTCTGATTATAGAAAACCCAAATTCAGTGTCTACAACAATAACCCTTCATAGGGCCCTCAGTGAAATACCTTGAAAATCAAATTTCAAGCCAATAGTGTAATTGGAAACCAGGACAAGACCTTATTACCTTACCTACCTTACATTAAAAATACGGACATTTTGATGGCAAAAAATTAATGTCAATGTAATAAGAAAAAATGCCAACTTACCCAAATATATCAAGAAAAATAACAAAAGTGCTTCTATAAGAAATTCATGAAAAACATTTCAGTAAAAAAAACATCTTTTTTTTTTGGTCCAACATAACCTTAGAGGCATTAATGCTGATACTGGCCCTTATATTTTTAGTTTATAAATCTAAATATAGCCGTTAACTAGGCTTTTTACCTTTTTTTCTTGACTTTTTAACTTTTTTTTTGTTACAACTTAATTTCCAGAAGGTAATATATCATTGAAGGGCTCATCTGATTGATCAAATACCAAAAAAGGTGTACAGCCATGTAACAGAATCTTTGCTGCATGGCTGGATATAGATCCTGCGGTATGCAAGTGATCAAAAACGCTAACCTGCCCTATAAAGGGTTAAGGAATAATAAAATAAGAAAGTAGGCCTAAAAATATCCATCAATAGAAACCATGTTGGAAAAGGAGAAAAAAGAGACAAAAAGTTTGGATGGATAATTAATCAAAAGTCAAAAGTATTGCAATAACCAGCCTGATAATTAATCCTACCAGCAATAACACCCTGACTTTAACCAGAGGCAGAAGTATATGTTAAAGAAAAACGAGAAAAGATATATTTTCATTTCAACTACAGCATAGATGTACATATAAACAAGAAATATAATCATACTCAGATTTTACACGTATGCAACAAAAAATGTCTCTGCAGAACTAATAGCACCTACTGTACCGGAAATTCAGATTAAACAAGGAACATTAATTACAAATGGGCTTTCAGTATACACAGCGAAAACATTAACATTAAAATTAGTTGAATGGATAGAAGAAATCAGATTTTTAAAAACAATTATTTGTCGTACTTCAGATCAGTTTTAATCAGTTTAGAATACAGCCATTCATAATGTAAACCAGATTTTTAAGTAGAGATAAAACAAGCAGATGTTGGGATTAGTTGTTATATTTATCTGGGTTCCAGCTCATATTGTCACACACACACATACACACACACACACATACATTATTACTGGGTTGGTTTGATACATGACATGGTAAATAAACTCTAAGTATTAAAGTGAAAGAAATACTTTTCCAGATATTATGACTCTTTAGTGAAGTGATATTCTGCTAGAAGGTGATACGTCTATTAGGCACCTTTCTAATATCCCGTAACAACAGACCAGTGATTCTGTCTGAAGCCGATTTCAGTTTTATAAATTCCCTTGATGGTGGTGGTGTAAGGATTATTTTGTAAATGGGCCAAGAGGATGTAAAGAATTTGGAATTGCCAAAGTTCAGAAGTTTTAATCGTCTAAAATCAAACAGTGCAAGAGTTTACTTATAATAACTCTAGTTCTTTGTTAGACTTTACCAGATACATTCTCATTTTCCGACGGTTTTGTCTGTTGTACGGTATGTTTATTGCAATTAACCAATAACGCATTTGTGGTGTTATGGCGCCCTCCAGTGGATTTCCATGGTACTACAGGCAATTTTCATCCTGCATCTTTATGTACCAGTTTTGCCTGCCTGGCTATAAACATGTATTTTTATTGTTTATTCTGTTTCAGATAACCACACATCCACATACCTAAGAAACTAAATATAAACCTTATCATCATCTGTACCATCATCTCCAATCTACCTGCTTCTATTCCTTTAATAAACCTTCTGAGCTGCACCGATGGAGTTTACATATTCCTTCTGACCGAGGAAGATTTAATTGATGACAAATCTGGAATTAGCACATATTAAACGTACACAGTCTTCTACAAATTATGTATGTCTATTCTATAAATTTTTTTTTAAAACCTTTATTTAATCAGGGGGATAATCCCATTGAGATGAAAAACCTCTTTTTCAAGGGAGTCCTGGCCAAGACGCAGCAAAGTTACATAAGAAACAGATACATTAAAATAAATTACAGGTACATAATATATATATATATATATATATATATATATATATATATATATATATATATATATATATATATATATAATATATAATATATATATATATATTATGTACCTGTAATTTATTTTAATGTATCTATGTTTCTTATAGGTACATAATAGGTTCCTATAGGTACATAATATATATATATATATATATATATATATATATATATATATATATATATATATATATATATATATATATATATATATATATATATATATATATATATATATATATATAATTTAAACATTTCTCTCTGTTGCCTTGCAATAGTTAAGTTTATATTATATGTTGTCTTCTGTTTTTTGTTTTAAGTAAAAAAGAAAAGTGGTGATTCCTACTTAAAAAAAAAAAAAAACCAATGCCACTCCCAATATGGCGGACCGCGGTCAGCTGATTGGGACTTCCGTCGCTGGGCGGTAGCACCTGTCACGTGACCGGTAAACGGGGAAGGGTTTCATGTCAGTGGAGCAGGAGGGATGTGAACTGTTAGTTTTATCCTCTGGACACATTTTCCTTCTTTTCTCAGTCGCGACTCTTTCCCTTCAGGCGACCAGCTTCGGCATTTTCCGGCTCATTTCGGAAAATGGCGTCAAACGGCTGTTTTTTTAGGAGCTTGTTGAGTTTGTTCATCTGCGTCACTCTGCGGAGCGAGCAAAGCAGCGGCTTGTTTGGAGAATCCAACCGGAGACCAAACATCGTTTTAATCCTCACCGATGACCTGGACATCGCTATGGGCGGCTTGGTCGGTGCTTTCCCGTTAATATCAAGCGATATTTGATGTTTAACATTAATATCAACCGATTTATGCCTGATCTGAACTGATCATAATGAAGCTCACATTCCTGCTTTAAGTCATCATTTAGGGTCTAATTAGGGAGCAGAGGGCAGTGTCTGTGATGAGGGGAAATTCAACATTTAGGAGAAAAATAATGACTTTTAGAACAAAATATCAGTCCTTAATGTGTTTGATGTAATTTCAAAGAATTACAAAGAACTTCATTCTGTTTAATGTTTCTCCAAATTATACACACGTTTTAATATAGAAATTATTAGTGCCAAATTATAATTTTCTACACATAACTGAAAACTTATTTCAGCCTTAACTGCAGGAAGTCAAAAAGGCTTAATCAACTGATTTATTTCACAGCGATTCCGTTTTCCAAGCAATTACAGTTGAAATTCCCCAAAAAGTAAAAAAAAAAAACAAAACAAAAAAAAAACAATCCACTGCAGGGGCGGAGATAGATGGGGGGCCAGGGGTGGCCGTGGCCACCCTTATCCAACCATTGGCCACGCCTACCATTTTTCCCCCTCTAAAGGGCTGGTTATCCTCCCACAGCAGTGTGTCGCAGGTATAATGCAGACATTTTTGATTTATGCTAAATATTGAATTATTGTTATTCCCATCCAGGAAGCTTTTTCAATTCAATATCGCCTATTCAGCCACCCAGCAATTCCCTCTAACGACCCCCTTTCAGAGACCTGGACAGGTATGGGGCATCGCAGGCTAACAAAAGAAGCCAAATGACCCCCATTCCAAAGGGGCCCCTTCGTCTGTTCCAATTAGCATGTTTTCTAAACTAAAACCAGGCTTTGTTGGGCTGCTGTATAAAACTCAACACTATTTTCTGACATTTTGAATTGAAAAAGCTTCCTGGATGGAAGAGAAACATCTTCAATGTTGGAAACAAAGTCCAGTGGATTGTTTTTAACCTGGTTTTGGAACGACTATGACCTGGATGGCTGAGAATCTTCAGCATATTACAGTTGAAAGGACGGAGTCTGTTTTTGCTGTGTTAAAGTTCTATAGTTTTTTCGTGCGTAACATGCAGGTCTGCAGTGGCCTGATGAGGAACCATTATTGCTTTCAGGTATGTTGGACGTCTGAAAGTAGGATGGTAGCTCTCAAGGACTGGACTTTAAATTAAAAGATTAAAAGGTTAACATTTATTCCCAACTATAGACTTTAATGTATAAAGAAATAGCGGAAACTTCTCAGATCAACACTGATCAGTTTTCTTTAACTAAAACCATGATGCGGTTCGTTCTTATATAAAAGAAGACGGTCCAGTTAGGTTCTTACAAAGCATTTCCACTGGATTGCTAATCCAAATGTTTACTAAATCAAGTTTAACTTTATCATTATTTGTGGTTCCCCATCCTGTGGTTCCTCTCTGGTTCCCAGATCTGTATTTTTGAAGGTAATTTAATTAAGAGGGGCCGACATCTGCTCTGTTATTTTAAACTGTTCAGTTCATTGTTGCTACATGGGGCTAATATCTGTCCCTTCATTTATCTTAAAGGGTTTATGTTTTTGATCAAAGTTCTCTGCTTCCTGTTTTTTTCGAATGTGTTTACAAAATTCTTTATTTCTTTGTAAAATTATTTTCCCTCTCTTAGAAAAATGTAAGATTTTTTTTGTCTTTTTAGAATCCACTGAGCAAGACCAAAAAACTAATTGGTGAGGCGGGGATATCCTTCACAAACGCAGTGAGTTGACTAAGTGTTGAAGTGTGCAGCTCTACTTCTCCTTCTGTCCATTTTGTTACTTTATTTTTGCCATAAACAACATGTTTTGAAAACCGAGCTTTGGAAAAAAACAAATTTTGTAAACTGAATTTAGAAAAAAAAAAAGCGATTTAGGAATGAATTTGAAAATGCAATGGTTGGAACAGCTGCTTCCCTACAACTTTAAATATTTTATATTTTTAATTTTCCTTTTCTAAATTGTTTTTCAGATTAAATTTTGTGAATTTCATTCTTTCCAAATTGTGTTGCAGATTACATTCTCTTCCCCTCTAGCCCAGTACAAACTTTCAGTCTTGACCAAAAATAAAGGTTGTTGCTAACGTTCAGCAGACCAATAGAAACGCGTTGTTGCTCCTCTCTCCAGAGGAAAGCCAGAAGTGATGGAATATGATCATTGAAAAGAACTGAATTTGTAAAACTCAATCTGAAAAATTGAATAAAAAACATACTATTTAAAAAATGAAAATATGAAAAATTTGAAAATAAACCAGCAAAGTTACTCTTAGAATCTTTTTTTATTATGATTAAAAAACGTTCCTCCTGTTTCTCAGTTTGTCGCCAGTCCGCTCTGCTGCCCGAGTCGGGCCAGCATCCTGACTGGGAAATATCCCCACAACCACCACGTCATCAACAACACGCTGGAGGGGAACTGCAGCAGCACGGCGTGGCAGAAGAGCCAGGAGCCCCACACCTTCCCTGCTCTGCTGAATACCCATGGAGGCTACCAGACCTTCTTCGCAGGGAAGTACCTCAACCAGGTAACCAGGTCTAAATGACTGACTGGTTTAAACGGTGTTCGTGAAAATGGTAAAAAGTTTGGGTTTTGTGGTTTTCAAAGGTGTTCTGCCATCATTCAGCACCGCTATTAGAGAAATGTAAAAATCCTTTATTGCAGCATCCAGACATGGGCAATGTGGAGTCAACAAGTCATCTCCATGTCACCCAGCCACTGAAGCAGGTGAGTCCAATCTGCACCGTGAATTAACCTGTGCAGATTGGACTCACCTGGTTAATTGGCTGGGTAGATTAAATACATGACATGGAGATGACTTGTTGACTCCACATTGCCCATGTCTGGCAGCATCAGAAATCTTTAAACTGTATAAAGATTTAAGCTTATATAATTTGAGCACATTCAATGGTTGAAAGACCAACATCCCCACATCACTACACATCCTCCTCCATACATAACATTAAACATGAGGAACGTTTCTACATTCAAGTCTTTGTTTTACTCAACTTGGAGCGTTTGTTGCAGAGAAACTAATTTTGTGTCTCCTGACCAAAACTGACGGCTTTTGAAGCTCCAGTAGAGTTTAGAAAATTCCTCGTTTATGTTTGTGATAGTAGAAGATTAAGTCCTCTCTTCAAACATTTGATGAGATTTCAAGTATAAAAAGGTCTTTTAAGCATTTCAAGATGTTTTTAACTCATACAAGGTTCTGACATCTGGCAAAAAAGAGGCCCTCAGTATCATAGATACTCCACTTTACCTAACAATGAGCATCAGGATCTTTCCTCCATACACAACATCAACAGTCCCACTGCTGTTCTGTATAGGTCTGAACCCCCTCAGCCAAATAATCAACAAGACTGGCTACGGGTACCGACTCAGGAACAGGGCCACCATCAGTCACCTGCTCTACATGGATGACATCAAGCTGTAGTGAGACATGGACTCACTGATCCATACATCCTACAGGGGATGTACCACCAAAACATAGCCGAAGTGGTGGATATAATATGTTAGGTAAAAGTGAAAAAAAGAACATGAGAAACTATAGAAATACCAGGAGCTCAGAGAAGAGCTGGAGGAAACTGGGAAGGTTGGGTGATACCCGTGGTCATAGAGGCACCCCTGGGGCAGTGACCCCCAAATATATCAGACATTTGGTCCAGAAGAGTTCAGTTCTACGAACAGCAAAGATACTGGCAGAACCCTTAAGCTGTTTTAGGGAAACATTAAAATAAAATGTGGAACTATATATTTAATATCAGTATTATGAACAATACTCTGACAGACTGTCTCTGTTTTTAGGTGTTGTGTCTGGCTGCAATGTTGTAAATATTTAAAGATGATATCAAAAAGACTCAATAGTAGAGCTGATTATTAATCCTAAACAATTTTTTAAAAATTGTAATATTGTAAAAAAAAAAAAAAAAAAAAGTATGTTTTTCTACATTTTTCAGAAAGTGAAACCTGAATAGCAAATGACATTCATATGAGTAAATCACCTCTCCTTCCACACTTTTTCCTTCCACTAAATGTTTTATTTTCCTTGGATCCAGCTTTCTGTGACCTTTAGTGATCTTCTAGACGTCGGTCCAGAGGGCAATAATGTTTATTAGGATTGTTCGGCCTCCTGACCCAGACTGGGAGACCAATCGGAGACTCAGGAAACCTTCAGAGGTGTTTTCAGTTAATATCTAGTTATTCTGGGACATTCCATATTTCCAATTTTGAACTTCTTCACTATTTAAACCATAATCATTTATATGGATTGATTCATTATATAAAAGAGGTAAAGACTGTAAATATTTCATTCTGTCCACATGTGCTATTTAGGCAAATTATCCTTAATTGGTTCGTAAGTCAATCCACACATTCAGCGACACAGAAGCTCTTTCAAACTGGGCACCATTTCAGTCACAAGTCACTGATATTGGTTCATTGATCATTTCAATCTGATTTAATCTACATTCCTTCAATGTCTTTTCCTTTTTTTAACGACCTGGAAGAACCCAAACACGTCTGTTTGCTTTATGTCTTCCAGTATGGACACTCTGGTGCTGGTGGAGTGGAGCATGTTCCTCCAGGCTGGAGCTACTGGGTGGCACTGGTAAGACTGGGAGTTCAGCCTCAGAGGAAGAGGTCATCCAAATATATTTAAAGGGATCTGTTTTTTTTGCAGGAGAAGAACTCTAAATATTATAACTACACTCTGTCTGTGAATGGGAAGGCTCAGAAGCATGGAGCAGACTACAGCAGAGACTACCTGACAGATGTGCTGGTGAGACGCCTCATCAGCAGCACCCTTTAAATAATGTTTCCAGTTTAACAATGTGATTAATTTACCAGTTTCTGAAGTTTCTTTCTCTCCAAGGCCAACAGATCTTTAGACTTCCTCCAGTATAGATCCAGCTACCAGCCGTTCTTCATGATGGTGTCCACGCCAGCCCCCCACTCCCCCTGGACCGCAGCTCCTCAGTACCAGAACCGCTTCAACGACACCAAGGCCCCCAGAGACCCCAGCTTTGATGTCCATGGGAAGGTGACTTTTAATGCTCAGCTGAAACCAAACGTTTTCATATACCGTAGAAAGTAGGTATGGAAAGCCAAATGTGACACATTAAATAGTGGAAATAACACAGTTAAAAATGAAAAAAGATTTCAGTGTGACCTGAAATGCATGCATCCAATTAAGTAAGCTATCTTTAATTTAATTGTAGAACAAACTTTTTTTTTTTCATCTCTGCCACACAGACTGTTTCTATTGCTACAAGAAAGTCGGTCATGATGTCTTAGACTGTAAACTGATCTGCAGCCGACGTTTTAAAAGTGCTTTAGAAGTTGAAAATTTTAAATGTATTTAAAAACATACATTTTAATCATGACTGAACAATATTTTATTGGAAATGTTGTTAGATTCCCTGTTGATTGGTTAATTAATACTTAAGTTTAGATTTATATTTCTAATTTAGGTTAAATCATGACGATGAATAAATAAATAAATAGGGTTTTTTATTTTGGTGGGGAGTCACAAAATATGAACTTATGAACAGTTTCTTAGAGAGAGGGGGAGGAGCTCAGTCATCCAGGAGGGACTCAGAGTAGAGCCGCTGCTCCTCCACGTCGAGAGGAGCCAGTTGAGGGGGCTCAGGCATCTGGTTAGGATGCCTCCTGGACGCCTCCCTGGTGAGGTGTTCCAGGCACGTCCCACCGGGAGGAGGCCCAGGGGGAGACCCAGGACAGTGGAGGGACTATGATTCTCTGCTGGCCTGGGAACGCCTTTGGATTCCCCCGGAGGAGCTGGACCAAGTGGCTGGGAGGGGGACGTCTGGGCCTCCCTACTGAAGCTGCTACCCCCACGATCCAACCCTGGATAAGAGGAAGATGATGGATGGATGGATGGATGTTGACCTAATTTTCTCTGTTCAGGACAAACACTGGTTGATCCGACAGGCTAAAACCCCCATGACCAACTCCTCTGTTCAGTTCCTGGATGATGCCTTCAGGAAACGGTTTGTAGTTTCATTTTTGGTCTTTTATATCCATCTTTGTCGCTCTGTTCAATGATCAAATGTTGCTCCAGATGGAGAACTCTCCTGTCAGTGGACGACCTGGTGGAGAAAATCGTGAAGAAGCTGGAGGAGAGAGGTGAACTAGAGAACACCTACATCTTCTTTACATCCGATAATGGCTACCACACAGGTGGGTCGGTACCTTAGACATGATCGTTTCCACTTTTCTTCTCCTGGTGACATAGATTAACCTGTTTGGCTCTGAATCAGGTCAGTTCTCTCTGCCGCTGGACAAACGGCAGCTCTATGAGTTCGACATCAGAGTTCCTCTCATGGTCAGAGGACCGAGCATCAAACCCAACCAGACCAGCCAGGTACCCATGTTCCCACCGTCTCACCTCTGTTTTTAAGTTTGGAGAAATTCTATCTGTCAAGTTCATAGTTTATCTTTATTTATTGGACAAATAATAAGAGCAAATGTTCAGTTTGTAGTTGAAATGAATTTAGTAGCGACTTTTTCATTTAAAATGAAGTTTAAAAAAAAATAATGAAGCCAATTGCAAGCAAAGATTTTTGCTTTAATCTGTTTCATCTCTGCTTCTGGAGGTCATATGTGTGTTTGTTGCAGCCTAAAGGCCTGGTTATCCTCCCCCAGCAGTTTGTCGCAGATAGCTTGTCCCAGATGGGCTCGTGCAAGAGCGTGCACGAGCCCATTTCTCCTTGTGCACGCTCATACAAGCTTAGTGTGTCCGAACCTCTCCCCTAACCCCTAAATCCTATAACCCCTAAATCACTATATAGAGCAGGGACTATGTAGCGGACTTTATAGTGATATCAGTTAACTGACCGATCGGACAGATGATCACTTCATTGTTGGTCACATAAAGGCCTGGTTATCATCCCGCAGCAGTGTTTCGCAGAGAGCTTTTCGCAGATATTTTTGATTTATGCTCAATTTTGAAGCGTTGTCTGCACTGTTATTCCACGCCACAACGCCAGAGGGCCAATCAGGAACTAGCTGTGGGTCTAGATACGGCCGAGGCGGTGAGGAAGTGGGGGCAAGTCTGTCCGACAACGGAGGGTCCCAGCGTTCTGGCGCACCTCGCTCTGCTAGCTGCTCCATCTTCACCAGTCGTTTTCCACAATGGCGGTCAGACAAACAAAACACGTCGGTAGAATACCAAACAGGAAATGTGCATAGAGTAGAGCGGATGCAGATTTGGCCAATCAGAGGCCCCCTGTCTGCAGCACTGTCTACAATCACCTACAATTTTACAGAGGTATCTGCGCCAGGGGCGGGGCATATTTGCGTTCAATGCGACACAAGCAGACGACCTGGTTTCCCAGTATTAACCAGCCTTAACTCTACATTTAACCTAATAGTTCTCCACAGAACACCTGCTACTGTTCAAAGTAAACTATTATTATTGATAACAGCTGATCGCGCCTTGATTGTTTGGCTGCCAGAAGAAAAAAAGCTGCCTGTTTATTCTTTTCACAGGGTTCTAAGATTGTCAGATAAGAATAAATGACTTTCTTTGACGTGATGATACCTCGGGGGGGGGGGAATGTCTGTTTCTACTTTGAGGAACGATGGTGGTACCATCATAATGTGGGGATGTTTTTTTTCTGGCAGGTATTTATCTGTCCCCATATGGAAAACCTAGAGGAAAAAAAGCAGATTGCTCTTTTTTTCCTGTCCATTTTGTTTGCAATTATAAAACATCCAATAATCCATCTCATCCCTTCCTGTTGTATTTTCTACCTTTTTCTAGTGGCTTGTTTTTTAGACAGAAGACTGAAAGGTAAGGGGGGGATATGAGATGGGTGGGTGGGGGCTGGGACGGCATGTGGCAAAATGATGCAGTGGGAAAAAGTATTCGCCCCAGTTAAATAAACAGAGATTGATGGATTTCACTCAGTCGGCACTTTATTTCTATATCTTTGCAAAGAGAGAACAGTTCGTCGTTCAGCTCTTTTTGCTCGGTAATCAGCCCTGATCTGATCTACACAGTTTGTCTCCTTTACTTATAATAAGGAAACAGCAGTGAAGGTTGTGTCAGAGTCTAAAGAAATCACCCACACTTTGGTTTAACAGTAGCAATTCTTGAAAACAACTTGGCTCGTTATGGAATAGGTATTCCTTGTTTGCAAAATACTTCTCACTCGGACACTTTGTGGCCTTGCAGGTGAAACAGACTGAGTAAAAACATTTTTCACTGGATAGGAGGGCTGGGTGTTTCCGCCAAAGTCCGGAATCGATTCGATTTTGATTCAATCGGTTCTAAATCGATTAATTCCGATTCGATCTGTTTTTACTATAATGAAAGTGGTTCAACTGCATTTCAAAATGCTCATGTATTTTATTTTTTTCTGTCACATTAAACACAAAGTGCAAAATTGTAAATCAGACAGTTTAAACATGAGACGTGAACAAAACTGTCTCATAAGTGCAAACTTGTTTGTGCAAAGTGAAAAAGTGAATCCTCCGTCGAGCGAGCAGACGTGACACAGCAGACATGTGTGAGCTGCAGTATCTTCACTGAACAAACCGTATTTGCAGCATTTTCTGCATCAACTTCAGGGTGATTGCTGCTCAGCCTCCATTTGTTAACATCTTTAGTCGACCTGTTGGCCATATTTGCAGCTGTCTGGCTTGAACTCATCTTTAGTGCATCTTTCCTGCTCATTTGAATGTGAACGTCACGCAGGTCACTATAAAATGAATCGATCTCATTCCCTACACATCGATTTTGCAAAAATGTTAAGGAATTGATTTTTTTACCCGGCCCTACTGGACAGATATCATAACTAAATAAATGAAACAACAGAAATCTAAATTTTCCAACCACAGTGATCAGTAACATTGATAAAAGTGAGTAAATATAGATATATAACAGATAATGAATTTAACAGCTAAAGATCTATAAAATGCTCATGGCCTCCTGAATGACAGCCAGAGTTAGAACAAACGGCAAAGCTTATAAATCTGGTTTACTAGAAGTACGATGCTCAGTCAGCTGCTCAGTTCTGCAGCTCATACGTCCCTTAATGTCTCCAGAAAACAGAATTATCTTTTTACTCGCTTCACGTCCGTCTCTCAGTATCATCGCTGCTCAATCAGTCGCCACATGTATCATTGTGACACTGAAGGCCCAGATTCTCCTATAGGTTTTTCTGATTCTAACTACCTAACTGTAAATGTGTCTGAAGTGTTTTGTCGTGCAAACAGGAGTTATATTTTATTATCTGCATATGTTTTATTTTCTATACTTGCCTCTTTTCAGTAATGTGTTTTGTTTTTCCTGTTTTCATTCTGGCGTTTAGGATCAGCTTCTTTTCTTTGCTGAATTAATCTTCTGATTTCCTGCACAATGAAATTATAATTATGTATTTTTAACGATCTGTTCTCAGATGCCAGTGGCAAACGTTGACCTCGGTCCGACCATCCTGGACATCGCCGGCTACAATGTCAACAGGACTCAAATGGACGGCATGTCCTTCCTGCCAGTAATGGTGAGACAACCTGGTGTTTTTTTCATTTCTTTATGAGAAATTCTATTTATTTTATTCTAATTAATGTTGAAACTATATATTTCCCCTATTCACCGTAAGAATGCATAAGATTATTTGTTTTTGTTAAAATCCTTATTAAACAGATTTCATCAATAGCTGTAAACATTTTTAGAAGTTGGCACCTTTTCTTGTGATTGGAAAGAATCTGAATTTCTTTATTCAAATGTTTTGTTTCTTCTGCATCTTTTGCATTTATTTCTGGGATTTAGCAAATAAAAAGTTATTCAGGAAATCCCGTTGAGTCTGTTAATTAAGTAAAAATAGCTTATTTTTATATACAGTTTGTGTAAAAATCAGATTTCTAATTTATGTGCAAAACATTTTTCTTTTCTTTGTTGATATTAGGAATTAATTTTTTCAGTAATTTTCATTGCTATTTATCACCATGATTTATTTGTCAGCATAAAATATAATATTTGTACCTTTTTACTAAATTCTATTAGTTTAAATGTCACATTTTATTTATTAAAAACTATTAAACAATAATTGGAATCCTATTATGAATTTTAATTTGTTTATAAATGGTTTAAATTTGGTCTTTTAGTTATTAACTTGAGCTGCTTTCTGAATAAACAACAATTTTTAAAACCTAAATAGGGTTAACATTTTTAAATTTAAAATGTTTAGGTTTTCCCTAATCCATTGCACTCTGGAGCTCATCCTGGTGTTGCGACTTAATGAAAGCAGCAAACGGTTCAAACTTGAAGACAAACATGTTTCTAAGTAGGTATGAGGCCGAAAATGATGGAAAAGTGCACATTTCTGCTGATAGACATTTAACTAATATAAAACCTACGATGTCACGACAAACAGCACAGCCAGCAAGGGGTGGGGGGGTGGATTGTAAGCCAAGCAGCACAGCCATCATGCAGAAACATTGCCCAGCGTGCAAAGGACTAAAAAATGGTTGGAGTAGAGTAAACAGACAAGTTTTGAGTCAAGTGGTGTGAATTCAAACGTTGCAAGTGTGCAATAGAATCTAAATGTACCCATCACCATTCTGATTAAGAGAACTGTGCAACACAGAGAAGGAATCTGACACCAAACATGCAAACTCAGTCTGTTTGAAAAGCCAGGAAAGTTTCCTAGTGTCTCCTTGGTTTTAGTCGGGGTTGGTACACACCATAGCCAGAAATGCCATGCTTCTTTTGATTTTCAGCATTGGTTCCCTTATTTTTTGTCTTCGGTTTCGGACAAAAATGTTCATTTTGGTGCATCCCAACTCTTTTCCCCCCCCCTATTTTAATCTTTTTTGAGGCGATGCTTAAAACCACCTGATCTAAAGCAACTTCTTCCAAATCTGTCAAAAAAACTGTTCTGATTCCCAGCCTGAAATGTCCTGCATCTAGGAGTGACTTCAAGATACATGTAATTAGATCTTAGCAGGGTATGTGAATCGATTTAAGCTAGCATATCATGTTCAGACCCTGACTCGTTGAGAGAAATATTATAATCCTCAGGTTTTTTTAGTGAGTTGAAAGAAAACTTAGTGGCTATAAAACGTGTTTTAAATGTGTTTGTTATTTGGCCAGCAAGGGAAGGTGAACGCCAGCAGCTGGAGAACAGACATCCTGGTGGAGTATGAGGGAGAAGGAAGGAACGTTTCGGATCCAGCCTGCCCGTTGTTGGGACCCGGAGTGTCTGTATGCAAAGCTGGGATCAAATTCACCTTCTGTCTGTTAAACTAACATATGGAGCTTAAGTTTAATTTATTTATTTATTCTTTCTGCAGGAATGTTTTCCAGACTGTGTGTGCGAGGACTCATTCAACAACACTTATGCTTGTGTGCGCACTGTTGCCCCCACTGCTAACCTGCAGTACTGCGAGTTCGATGACAACGAGGTAATAATAATAACAATGAATTTTATTTATAACGCACTTTACATTTGACTTTGACAGGTTCTGATTTCCCTTTTATCTAAAATCCCTTTTTTAGCTAAACACACAGACTGTTCTCCTTCTTCTGAGCTGGTGTTGTCTGCATTCCATTTCTGAGCAGTTAGCTTGCATATCTTTTTACAAATTAAACAAATGATAGAATATGACCTGTAAGTAGGGGTAGCTCTCTCAGAATAGCTCAGCTGCAATCAGTTTAGCCTCACTACTGTGCTACCTTAATAAACACACTGTAAGCATGAGGGCAGTGATGTTTGACAACCTTTTTGAGCGTAGCTGCAACCCCTCAGACTTTGGTGACACCTGGTGGCTGGATCTGTAACACTGAACATTTGTCTGTCCTCCAGGTGTTTGTGGAGGTTTACAATGTGACAGCAGACCCCTACCAGCTAAAAAACATCGCAAAGACCATCGAGCAGGAAGTGCTGGAAAAAATGAACCATCGGCTGATGATGCTGCAGTCCTGCTCCGGGCAGACGTGTCGAACACCCGGGGTTTACCATCCAAGGTGTGTTCAAAGTGTTAAAACGTTTTTCACACAAACTGACTCCAATTTACTGACCTCAAAAGTTGAAATGAAATGTCTGAAATGTCGCATAGAAGAGTATGACCTCAACAATGAGCTAAAACAAGTCATAGAATACTATGACCACAAAAAAAGAGCTAAAATAACACATAGCATTGTGTGACCTCAGTAATTAGTTCATAGTATGAGGTCAAAAATGGGCTAAAACTACTCATTTTAAAGTATAGCCTCGGCAATTAGGCTTAAACGAGTCATAGCATAGTTTGACCTCAAATAATGAGATAAATTCACACATAGTATTTTTATATCTTAAATAATATATTAAATTTATTCACTCTGCAAAGAGAGAACGAGACATCAGCAGCCCTTATTGCTCGGTAATCAGCCCTGTTCTGATCTGTCCCTGTTTTTTACCATAATGGAAAGTAGTTATAGTTAAAACTAATTACTTTGGTTAAACAGTAACGTCTTACGAATAAACCTCGTTATGGGAATAAGTATTTATTGTTTACTATATACCTACATAAATATATGTGAAAGGGAATTAATTAACCACAGACCTCATTAATTGGTTAAAACGACATTTATTATGTTATATTCTACTCTTTAAGCATAATATCTTCTTTTTGATATAAAACATTAAATTGTTTTATTATCCAAGCAATATGCATTATGTGTTAATGCACTTAATGTGACAAATTTTACATCAAAAAGCGTCAGTAAGAGGGATAAAATACAACTTGTTTACCATTTAACATCGCAGAATGATAAATTTGATCCATAATATCCGTCAATGACTTTTATATCTGTAGGTCAGCTTTCCTCATCTTACATGGTTTAGTTTTTGGTATTAATCTTCTGTATTGGTTGGCGTGCAGCAATGACAGTTAATGAAACAGACCTTAGACATCAAGTTGAAACTGTACAACAGACACAGGCTGAGATTTTCAGTACAGATCTTCCCTTTAAACCATTATCAGGTACAGAAATCATTACCAAACAAGTTACAATAAAAAAAACATCCATATTCAAAATTCTGACATCATTTATGTGTTTATTTTTCTCCTGTTAGGTTTGAGTTTAACCCCCGGCAGCTTTTCTCAAGCCACAGCTCCAGACTCTGAGGGGAGTGGATGAGCATCAAAGAAGGCCTTTTCCTTTGGACCCTCCTGAGCTGCCGTCTGTTAGAGCTGGAAAGAAAAGGATCAGGTGGGCTGAAGTCTCCGGGAGCCAGACTCACCTTTAGGCCTCTGGTTTGGAAGACTGAATACAAATGTCTCGTTGTCGGCGCAGCTTTGCACGTCTGTTCCTCTTTGCTGAACTGTTTGTTCCCCAACAAATCGTTTGGGTTGAAAGATAAGTGTTACTCTGACTGCATTTAAATGTTTACTATAGGAATAATTAGACTGAGATTCACTGAATTAAAACCTTTTTGTGCAACTTTATTGTTGGTTTGTTAAGGAGGTTAAAGCTTCTATATAAGCAGTACCTGGATTACATTAGATAATTCCTTTGGGGTATTTATTTGATGTTAATCCAATTAATTTGGCTGAAGTTTACAGTTTGAAAAGGATCAAACCAAAGTGGACCTTTACTGAATTCAGATTATTTAATACTTAGTTTGTGAAGTGTTTAAACTGACTCTAAATTTATGATTTACTAAATGAAGTCATGTGAAGAACTGCTAAAGAGTAACTTCTCTAAACCTTTAGGAACAAAACAAGAAAAAAACATCAGTTCCTTTTCAGGGGTTCGTTTCACGAAGCAGGTTTACTAAAAAACTATGTTTTCTAAAGCAGAAAAATGGGAAAACTGAGTTTTCTGCTTCACAAAGAGAATTTACTCAGCCTCTGTTTCAGTCGCCGTAGTAACATCCTCCCCGGAGCTAACCTGGCCGGTAGCAGGTTTTCCTCAGTAAACACGGAGTATGGTCAATCACGATGTTTTTTCTCCTGATTTAGTAAGATTTTTGTCGTAGTTTTGTGCTTAAAAAAAAAAACCTTCACTAGGTCTAAACACATTAAGAAAAAAAAAAAACCTTGTATGTCCATTGGACGAGGATCTTATTAAAGCTTGATCGACAGTTTTTCACAGAGAATTAAATATTTATAGGGAGAGGATTCTAAAACTCAGTTGAAAATATATTAGATTTATTTGTTTATGGTTTGTTTAATATAAGCGATATGCAAAGCATTTCATTTTTCTTTATTTTTAAAGTACATGAAGAACGACTGAAATTATTTTCAGATTAGACATAAATCGATTAATTAATTCTGCTGGGGAAAAGGAACTTACTTGAGGTTAGGATTTGTTCAGTGATAATAACCTTCTGATCCTCCTGATCCTCGAAAGATTGGATGCCATTAACTGGAGTGAAGGGACTCTAAAATCTGCCTTTCTCTGACAGAGACCCATTTAGAGCAGTAATTATAGCAAAACTGTAATAGAAAATATATATATAACATTTGTTAATATGCTCTCTCCGGAACTCAAGTGAAAAGAAATTAGTTTCACCTGATTTAATTTTGTAAAAAAAAAATCTTCTTTAAGAAATCTTTTGCTATCCAATTATTAATTGAAGAAACAATTGACAGATTAAGAGATATGCAAAATAATCGTTGTTTTAAATGTTGCAGCCCTAGGAAATATATTGTAGTTCAATCTAGGGATCTGATTTTGATTCTGCAGAATCTTATTTTAGTGATCTACAAATGAAACAACAGACAGGAGAGTTCTTTTAATAAGTGTAAAAACGACCTGCTAAAGCCCCTTTATATAAACCTACACATTAACTTGAGCAGCAATCTTCTCTCCATCTTCCTCTCCTTCGCAGTCGGTTCTCTGTCTTTTAAACACGGGGCTCCACTGATTTTCATACCTGTTATGCACGTGTTCAAGTCTGAGAGGACCGAAAACTCAACCTTAGGCCAGATCAATTTGAGTTATGGATTTGAATCAGTTTGTTAAACCTGCTTCTTGAAATGGACCTAAGGAGGATCTTTGATCACGTTGATATTCTTTATATCATATGTTGTCGAAACAGCAGAGGGACATTTTGAGACTAGCAGCCTTGTAGACAAGATTAGCTCCACCAACTAATCTGGACTTGTTCTAAATGAGGTGATCTTAAAGTCAGTGACTATGCTGTCGAGTTTTAATATTTTAAGAAGGATGGGGCAAGAGTGTTATGAGCGTGATGTTAATTTTTCTTTTTAAATGTTAAAGTCCTTCAAAAATGCGTCTATTAAAATTCCTGTTGTAAAAAGGGGAAAAGATGAAACCCTCTATTATATCCAGAAAAGCTTGACCAGCTGCTACTGATGTTTTTTCCAGACTGTTGTGAACATGTTAAATGTTTTTTTTTTTTTCAAGCCGAGTAAAAAATGGCACTTTTACATGTCAAGAGATTTCTGTATTTTTCTCTAGTTTTTGTTCGAATAAAGAAACCCTCACAGTAAAAAAATTGTTTTCATTTCCTTCCAAGTTATTTACAGCTGCAGATCATAAAGTCCCTTTAAGAGACGTGAAATTCATTTAAACCATAACAGCATCCAATCTTTTAGCTAAAGATGTTTATGTTCTCTCCTAATAGTCAAATTTGGGCTTTTATTTATTTATTTAAACTAAAAATGTTTATTTGAGGCAAAGCTCTACACTTCACATTATCCAAAAAGCAGCAATTTAGCTAAATTAACAGTTAATTGGCAAGTTTTGGGTTTTTAGAGAAACACTTTTCACAAATACAATCCTCTATGAAGATTTGTTGATCTGACTCCTTTTAGGACAACATTTGATTTAGAGTATTTAAAAGACTAAGTATTGGATCTAAAGGTATTTCTAGCAGCGATGCTTCATCAGTAAATAGGTTTACAGGATCCTGGTTTGAAGCACCTGATGTTAAATATGATGGTGGTGGTGGTGGTTACAGACATCCCAAGTCTCCTGGAAGTTCCAGGAGTCTCCCTGATATCGATAGTTGTTCATGGATGACCGCGAGTCGGATAAATTATCCCGGATTTTAGACTCTGGGAGGTGGTGTTTTTTAATGCCAGTGAGAGCGAGCGGCAGTACAATGATTCATGCATCATGTTCAGATTAGAACTACTGTGATTGCTGCTGAAACCTGTGCAGCGTTTCTGTCCAAAGCGATGCTCTGATCAACCAGCGTTCCAGGCGACTGGTTGATCAGAGACCTGATTGGATCAGTCAGAAAAATAAGCCAATAAGTGTCAGTTTACTTTTTTACAGTCACCTGATTTTACAGCAGAATATACTAAAGTGTCTCCATGTCTAGTGAGAGTGAAGAATGATGGACTGCATGAATGGGGCACGGTGCGGCCACGGGCGTCAGCTGACCCAGTACTATACAGGGGCACAATAGGGCACCAAATAAAATGCGAGCGCACAGAGCACGTGAGCAAAACAAATTTTGGGCAATTATTTATTTTATAAAAACATGGGCACAGATCATTAATGCAAGCACACAAGCAAATATTTTATGGCACATATTTATTATTATAAAGCATCATAAATAAATTGTACAATAAGATTGTTATTTTCTGCATTATGAAATATCTACCTAAACCAAACTGAATTGGCTCTTTTGTGAACTTCACTGTATATCTCTAATCCACTACTGATGAAGGCACAATTTATCTTCATTAAGCGTCTCCCTGAAATCAGTTTTTTGAACTTGGGATGTCTGGTTGTAGTGGAGGCGACGGCGAACCGAGCAGTGAACATGATGTCAGTGCGGCTGAGGAGAGACATGGCGAGAGAGATGAGAGCAGAGAGCAGGAGGAAATAGATTACTTTGCCCGTCCTGATCCTTGTCTTTTACAAAACTTTTTGAATCACCACCCACAACAGAGCACAAAAAATACATTTGTGCAAAAGGTATTCACCACTAAAAATGCAACCAACAGGAGGTGGCTCACATATTGTGAGAAACGTCATGCTTTATTTTGTTTTTCATGTATTGCATTTAGAAAGACTACTGACACAAGCTCATTTATTACTGGGATGCCTGATTGGAGGCATGTGCACCAGCGCACAGAAGAGCATGAGAAGAGTAGCGTAATTTGTGTGGTTGACTCTCTCTCTCTCTTCATCCCTCCCTCTCTCCCTGATCTTAGAATTGTTGCTGTGCTTTGGTGGAGTTTACATTTTACAGTGTTAATAAATTAAGTTTTTGGAAGTATTTTAAGTGTCCACTCTCACTAATTTCCATGAACCTGGCCTCAAGTTATTGCACAGTTGGTATACACATTCAGTACACCAAAGAAAATGTGGTGGGCCAGTCTAGTACAAAATGCCAGGGTCGATTTTTTGTCCCAGTCCACCCCTGGCTACCCGGTCTGCCGGCTTCCGTAGCGTTGTGAGCGCGCATGTGCGCGCTTTCAGGAAATCCTATACACTACTGTTTATGCTCTAAAAACATTCTAAATGACTTCGTTTCGAGTAAATTCTGGATGCTACCCACTCAGGACACTTGGAATACATTGGACGAGCAGTATGGAGGAATATTGACACGTTTTTTGTGGACTTCTATGGACCTTTCTGTCTCGGTCACCATAGACCTCCATTATTTGAATGTCAGCAGACAGCAAGAAGCCTCCCAGATCTCCAGATGCATTTGAGATATCAAAAAAGTACTCCAGAGTGTTGTTCAGCATGGGGGTGAGTAGAAAATGAAGGCTAATCATGTTTTGGGTGTACTATTCCTTTAACCTGTAGATTTTAATCCCTCTGCTGCCATCTAGTGGTCAAACCATGTTATGAAATAAATATTCACGTCAACATCAGAGCAGAAATATTTAGTTTCCTTTTTTCTGTTCAAATTATTTCCCTCTTTGTGATTATGCATTAGTTAGGATCTTTCTCAGTGGTTTGGATTAAAGAAACCAGTCCTTGATAAGCCAGGAGTTTTCCTTATCTGAGGCTGGATTACCTTCATTATCTTCTACAATATAGACTGAAATTAATCTCTGATAAACAGTAATAACATGTAGACAATTAATTTTGGCTTCAAAAGTCCTAAATAGACAAGTGAGCATTGACTGTTTTATACTTCTTATTGATATCTTCCATTCTTCAAGTATAAGCATTTAAATCCCATATCAAAGAGGTTTCTAGAATTTCCTTCTTTCATCTTAGGAATATTGCAAAAATTAGAAATCTCCTGTCCAGGGGTGATGCTGAGAAACTAGTCCATGCATTTGTTACTTCAAGGCTGGACTATTGTAATTCTTTACTATCAGGAAGTCCACAAACTGTAGTTAAAAGCCTTCAGCTGATCCAAAATGCTGCAGCCAGAGTTCTGATGAAAATTAAAAAGAGAGATCATATCTCTCCTATCCTGGCTTCTCTTCATTGGCTTCCTGTTAAATCCAGAATAGAATTTAAAATCCTCCTTCTCACATATAAAGCCTTAAATGGCCAAACTCCATCTGATATCAGAGATCTGATTGTTCCTTATGTTCCTAACAGAGCACTTCGCTCTCAGTCTGCAGGTTTACTAGTGGTTCCTAGAATTTATAAAAATAGAATGGGAGGCAGATCTTTTAGTTATCAGGCTCCTCTCCTGTGGAACCAACTACCAGTTTTAGACTGAGGCAGACATCCTGTCTACTTTTAAGGCTAGGCTTAAAACTTTCCTTTTTGATAAAGTTTATAGTTAGAGTGGCTCAGGTTATCCTGAGCTATCTCTATAGTTATGCTGCTATAGGCTTAGACTGCTGGAGGACATAGGGACCCCCATTTCATTATTCTGCTTCATTCTCTCTCTGTTCTCCTATTCTGCAGAATCTGTTAGTTCAATCTCTAACGTTCTGCTCTCTCTGCTTTTCCTCAGAGTAGCCTTGTCTCGTCTGTTCCTGTTTGGCTGTGACTCCATCCTGGAGAGAAATATCAGCTGTGCTGCTGCCATCAACACCTTTGTTTATAGATGCTGGAGATTGGCCTGTTTTTCAGTGTAGTCCTGTTTCTCTGACTGTGATTTGCTGGATGTGCTCTCTTCATCCTC